TAAGCAAATCGATAATCTTGTAGACACTTCAGCTAAAGTGTGTAGTTTCCATAGAAATATTCAAATTGCTAATTTGTAAATATTTATTTTGAAAATAATTAGTTATCCATGTTATTGAGGTTATAGACTGATATCTGCTTCTCAGAACGTGGACTATAGCCCATATTCCCCTCGTGGAATACAGAGGTCCACAATCTTTGTGTCTCATCTTTGAGGATGCTTCTAAGCTTCTGTCCGTCTTTCTTGCTTGTCTTGGGTAAAGTGAGAATTCTGATGTGGTGTTTGAAATGTGATAGACTGTTTGAAGTGGATATGCTTGATAACTATCTATCATAATAGAGACTGGATGAGCCAGGCTGCGTGTTGTGATAGTTGTGGTGAGGAAGATAGCATGCGGAACAATACTTTCAGCGGGAAGTAAATATATAATCTACAGATAAATATGTTTGTGCGGGAGGTAAATACTTTGAGTGTAATATACTTCATATATTTTGATATTATTACATTTCGTATTTATATTAATTTGTTGTGATTTCCTAACAACTAAAATGTGAAAATGTTTTCCAGAAAGTAAATGTAGTCAATTAATAATCAGTCGTACTCTCCTAACAAATTATTTGATATATTTGAGAATAATTTTACAATATTTTACCAACAACTGGATATTTTTGTGCCATAGAGTAATGTATGTTGTTAATTGCATTTTATTACGAATAGGTTTCGAATATAATAGTTGAACAAATTCAACTGACTGAAAAGTGCCTCTGTTTTAATCATCCATACTCTATACAAGACAACTGTGTTTAGAAATCGTATACAACCAACAACCAGTTAATACAAAAATCTGCCATTTCAAGAAAGATTTTGACAAACGTTCTACAGCCAATGTAGACACAAGTTAGAGATGGCAAGTTGTTTATTTTACAGCTTCGGTATATTTCCCTCTCTTTACTTGGCAGTGGTATGAGTATCTAGTCCAAAACATCACTTACGCAGTAAAGTAAGGAAGCTGTTATCCATACATCGTGTCAGTTTTCTTCAGTCACATTCAAAGAAATGCCTATAAAATAATGCTCTATAGCTATGGATGGATTTTGATGGATTTATATTTTTAATTTTTTTAACTTGTGAATTTCTTTTTATGAAACCACAAAATGCAAACACATTTCTTACTCCCATATCCTATTAGCTTGGAGTTCCATTACATGAGTGATGGTGATGTGTGATGCTTGTAAAAGGAAATATGACATATTTTCAATTAAGAACCAGTCATCACAATTAGACATTAGGGAAGCAGTATTAAATATTGCAGTAATGAATATGTTGGCTCCGTAATGGATGGGATTTGACATGGGACTTAGAATAGAACACGCTTCCCTGTCCAGATTTTAATGACCATCAGATTCCAGCATCTCTCAGTGGACTGCCTCAGGTACTGGGGGCCAATTAGTTGGTCCAGAATTAATTGTTGTCAGAAACATTGGCATGTGTCACCATTTTGATCATGGGTGACGATAATCAGACAAATTTGCTGCGAATATTGGAACCTTTTGTTCAGTTAATAGTGGAGTGATATCTTTGGTTCAGTTTGATTCTGTTGTAATTTCATTAGCTGCTGCTTTAATTTGATTTTGATAATTTCAATTTCGAAAAGTATTTCAGAGATGTTCGTACAATTACCTGAAAACATTTTAGCCCTTTACCTATAAATTCCTCATTAAGAGCCCATCTAGTACACAACATGTTGAAATGGGAAATCTAATTGAATTACTAATTTACATTTGTGCCTTGGTGACATTTTGAGGTGTTATGGGGATTTTTAGCATTAGGGACCATTCATAATTTATGGGGTGGGTGGGGTGTGTGATGATTTTAAGGGAGGGTCACCCATTTTGTCCTCCGGGGGTAGGGGGGGGTGTGGTCAGCAATTTTGTACACATGTGTGGGGGGGCTCAGCAATTTTGTACATACTAATATTGAAAAATTATGCTTAAAAATTATGGGAAGGGGGGGCCTTAATTTTGCACATGATGGGGGGCATTTACTTTGTGCATAAATTTTGGGTGGTGGTGGGTGTCATTCACATTGTACATGCTTCTCCATAAAATAATCATCACCACCACCACCAGCCATAAATTATGAACGGTCCCTTATGTACAAATATTTTCTTTTTTTTTTCAGTTGTTGTGTGGGTTTTAGTTGTTTTGGGGTGGGGCCAGAATTGGGTTTTTATTGCCTATCTGTCTATATCTAGTCCTTTGTAGGTGTATTTGTATTGTATAATTAATTCTGTTACGTTAACAGCATTGAGAAGCATTTATTTTAAATTCATTTGAATCATCTAATGCTTGATTGTAATAATTATACCAAATTTGGCTTCAGTGTTATCAAATGCATTAGTATCTGACAAGTTTCAACGCAAATATGTGCTACTAACACAGTGGGGTTTTTTCCTGAGAAAAATCGAACATTTCTAGATTCTGAGAAGAATTTTGTTGTGTAATTGAGAAGTTTATCAAAGAAAATAGGAAATGTTCCTGATTACGTCAGACTCCCTAGGGATGTCCCTGTTGGCCGATCTCCTAATTGGAAGGTCTAATTAAGGGAAGATTATGCAAGATGTCATATCAGCACATAAGGGGTCACAGTGGGAGACTATCTAAAGGACTCGGTCATTATACAGAGATCTGCAATTATTGTACATATTGTATAAGAAGCTTATCACATAGCAAGTTGAAATTAAGCCAGTGGTTATGTGATGTTAGGGATTTTCATATACATTTTGTGTTTGATAACATGAGAAATGGGCTTTTGGGAATGAATGAATTTCTGGGGATTTGGTTTGAGAAAATTATACAAAACTGTCTGTGAAAGTTAGGTCTGCCTAGGAATTTTTAACTGACAGTCAGCATAAAATGAGGGCTCAAAGTGGGTTAAAAAAGAGTTAAATCAAATGGTCAGTTTGTTTGCACCTCAACATCTTGAAGGTTACCGGAATGATTTTTACATTGATATCTTTTGGTTGTATTTATTATCCATCTCATGAAAGAAATTATTTTAAGCCTCTTAAGACTGATTTCAATGAGGTAGATTTGCAAATGGTTTGATTTAAAATTCAAATAAAGTTGCGGCCTCTTTCAGACATTAGCTTCATGGTTTGTGATTTTGACCAGGTATGAAAATGACTTCGTCAGCAGCAGCATCCAGGATCCCCATCCCAGATTTAATTCCGGGAATTTGATCCCAGTGATGAGAGCTAATCAGGGTTTTCATCCCACAAATTCAATTAACACGATTTCATTTCGGCAACACAAGATATATCTGTATTTTGCATATGGTTTCTAATCAGCTAATCTTTCCCGCTTCTAATCAGTGTCCTAAATGAATGGGATATGTTGTCGCTATTGGCAGAAAATATGACGGGTACAAATTAGGGGAAACATTATCCCTCCAACTACTCATAATTAATTCCAATCTATTCATACCTGTGTTATTTCGCATTTTCAATTTGATTTGTCTTCAAGGCAATAGCTTCGGAAAAATTGAGTGTTTTTAATTTGAAGATTTTTTTTCTGTTGGGGTAAATATATCTCTGTAAATTTTGACAAATGTATAATATATGCCTCATAAAGGTCAAATTATTGTGTATTTTATGAAGACATATTTTCAAATTTCTCTGTGAAAAGTTAAAGATTTCTTTTAAAGGTTCAATATTTGATTGGGTGTATTTCAGCACAGGATTGTAAGAGTCCTGGTAGAGGCTTAAACGAATTGTTGAAACTTGTTTAAAACAATGTTAGGGTTGCAATCTGTTTGTATCCTGCTCAGGTTTAGTGCTCCCTATTGCAAATGTGGTTTCCGTTTTATCGGATAGAAAATGTGTTTGATTACAAAAGAGACAATTAATCTTCATATGCACCGTAGTTCCAATTGAAATAGATGGTGTGGGAAGTCCCGTTTCACCATCAAAGATCCAATCTCACCAAATTAGCCAATTTAAGTTTTTTAAAGAGAAACAAATATCTTAAATGATTGAAAATTCAATTTCTTAAGCTTCCCTTTCCATCATTGTGTCATTTATTGCTCTTTGATGTCTTGAGATGGTCCCTGGCTCATCCGTTCTCCTCCCCTTTTACCCAGTATTGCTTGTGACTTCATAATTAATTTTCCTCTACATACAGGCAATTACCTTTTTTTCCAACAAAGAAAGCCAAGGAAAGTTTCTGTTTTTAGCCCAGTCTTTTTTTTTTAAAAGACGATTACTACTGTTCTGTAAGGGGAAGGTATAAAACCGTTTAAAATTTTGAACCAAAACCTTCCAACGATTAAATGTCATATTCACTGTTGTTAAAACTGAGCTATTCCTTTCTCCTCCCCATTCTCAGAACAAAGAAGCAATCCAACAAATTAGGATGCTAATTAACCCAATTGTTTGATGAGGTTGCTAATAGGGGCAGCATGTTGTAATGAGGGTTGTCTTCCCTTGATAGGGGTCTTCAATCTAGTCATGTGTAAGGGGACACCCCTATTAGGGCTTGTGGACAGGAAGGGCTGTGTACAAGGGCTGTTATAAGGACAGTTACAAGGCGATTAAAGAAAATATTAGGGCAGGGAATGGGGCATTGTTGAGCTGCTGTGTTGGGACTGATGTGATCAGGGGAAGGAAGTGATTTTCAAGGAAGCAGGATATAGGATTTTGACCTGTTTGGTTGAACAAAATGATCCCCTTGTTCGCTTGGTCTGGTGCATTTCTCTGTGGTAAAACGGTACGTGACTTGGGCAAATATTTCATATATTATGTCCTACAAATACATGACTGAACTTGATTGTTTGAGTAAATTATTCTTCCGGAAATATATAGCCGACATGTACAAACTTGTTCAGAAGGATCCATTTTCAGGTATTGCAGTTTTTTTAATGGAGTTTTTGTGGACGTGTCTTTGTTGGTTGTGCTGTTTAAGTGAATGAATTTACTGAATGTTTGTTTTTTTCTGCTGCAGGTATATTCCCCAAGTCCTGATGACTTCCACCAGGATTCACCCCGCTATCAAGGCACGGGGAACTCACCCAAACCTATGTCCTATTCAGACTACTTCATTGGTAAGAAGCTGCTATTGTTTTACTGTGTTAATATTGGTATATCCCACGGGGAACTCACCCAAACCTATGTCCTATTCAGACTACCTCATTGGTAAGAAGCTGCTATTGTTTTACTGAGTTAATATTGGTATAGGGGACCTCACCCAAACCTATGTCCTATTCAGACTACTTCATTGGTAAGAAGCTGCTATTGTTTTACTATGTTAATATTGGTATATCCCACGGGGACCTCACCCAAACCTATGTCCTATTCAGACTACTTCATTGGTAAGAAGCTGCTATTGTTTTACTATGTTAATATTGGTATATCCCACGGGGACCTCACCCAAACCTATGTCCTATTCAGACTACCTCATTGGTAAGAAGCTGCTATTGTTTTACTGAGTTAATATTGGTATAGGGGACCTCACCCAAACCTATGTCCTATTCAGACTACCTCATTGGTAAGAAGCTGCTATTGTTTTACTGAGTTAATATTGGTATAGGGGACCTCACCCAAACCTATGTCCTATTCAGACTACTTCATTGGTAAGAAGCTGCTATTGTTTTACTATGTTAATATTGGTATATCCCACGGGGAACTCACCCAAACCTATGTCCTATTCAGACTACCTCATTGGTAAGAAGCTGCTATTGTTTTACTATGTTAATATTGGTATATCCCACAGGGAACTCACCCAAACCTATGTCCTATTCATACTACTTCATTGGTAAGAAGCTGCTATTGTTTTACTAAGTTAATATTGGTATAGTGGACCTCACCCAAACCTATGTCCTATTCATACTACTTCATTGGTAAGAAGTTGCTATTGTTTTACTAAGTTAATATTGGTATAGTGGACCTCACCCAAACCTATGTCCCTATTCATACTACTACTTCATTGGTAAGAAGTTGCTATTGTTTTACTAAGTTAATATTGGTGTAGGGGACCTCACCCAAACCTATGTCCTATTCATACTACTTCATTGGTAAGAAGTTGCTATTGTTTTACTGAGTTAATATTGGTATAGTGGACCTCACCCAAACCTATGTCCTATTCATACTACTTCATTGGTAAGAAGTTGCTATTGTTTTACTAAGTTAATATTGGTGTAGGGGACCTCACCCAAACCTATGTCCTATTCAGACTACTTCATTGGTAAGAAGCTGCTATTGTTTTACTGAGTTAATATTGGTATAGTGGACCTCACCCAAACCTATGTCCTATTCAGACTACTTCATTGGTAAGAAGCTGCTATTGTTATAGTGTTTGGTCAATTATCAACCCAGGAAACAATAATTTGAATACAATGTACCCTGCAGAGTTGTGTCCCTTTGGCGTAAAAGAAACAAATAATCATTGGTTGGAATCTCCAATTGCATTTCTTGCTTTCACAGGGTGTCACTTTGCAGGCACACACAGATATGAGTGAAAATTATATGTTAATTTTGAAAAAAAAATAAGATCCACACTTGCTTTTAAGTTTTCTTGACAAATAGACTCTAAATATTAGTTTTTTATTGAAAAGATATAATTCTTGCCTGTTGTAATGATGTAATCAGTAATTGGACTTTTATAAATCTTTTCTAAACATGTATACTGTTTCCGTTAACTAACACAAATCAGGTACATGAGAACATAAAAATATATATACAAAAGAAGTTTGTTGGGAAGCATTAAATTTTAGTGAGCTGCTTTGCAAATCATCATTAGTTAGCTTTGGGAAAATAGTTGTATTGTAAGTAGTATTGTGTTCTGACATAGTAATTGCCGCTATTTCTCCGTGCACACAGGACACAGTTAGTGCGGGTAACTGCATTCTTAACATAATACAGTACGTTAGAATAGTGTCATTTTGCCAATATCGTCTTGAAAACTAATTTCCTTTGAAAAAACTTCTCTAATGATCAATGCTGAAACTAACATTGCACAATCTTTAAGCAACAAACAAGTAATGTTGAGCTTCGCGAGACTGCGTCTGATTAGAGTTGCAGTCGCAGCCAAAACGTTCATCAGGTCGCAGAATATGTTTCTGCCATTAGGGAGCTAGAGTGTACCGAGAACTGGGAATATTTTTAACTCGTATGGAATATACCATGTGTTTAAGCATCCTCTTTCGTTACAGCGCTGTGCAAATTGCCTGTTAGAGAGTATGTTTAATACATTTTCGGTTTTCGCGAACCACCAATGGCGTGCTCGTCCTGCCTGGACACACCTTTGTCAAATTAATATGTAGTGATTTGGTTGCACAGTTTTCCTTGGAAAATATTCAGCGTGAAAAACCGATTGTGGTAATTTAGGGGAACTCAACAGTTCAATAGAATTTTTTTGCAATTTCAAAAACATAAGCGCTTCTGTGTTGCTGTTTGAACTGTAATTTACCAGACCTGATTGGGTTAATTATATGTTTGATAAGAATCATTTGCTGGAAATTGCCTTCTGTGTTTATGAAAAGAATTTTGTCCATTTGTATTTGCGGCTGATAGAATTTCATAATTGTTGGATGTTTGGAATTATTGAAATCTTTTGAAGTCAATATTCAACAGCGGTTATAATTTAAATGTTCCACAATGGTAATGATAATAATTTGATGGAGACCAAATGCAAATATATGTTGCAAATATTATTTTAAAGTATGTTATGTATAAGTATTATCCTCAGGGAGTTGAAAGCAAAATGAATGGCGGCTGATTGTAAATGGAAACTATAAGGGCGGAACAAAGGAACATGTTATTGTAAGATGATACATTTGGTAACCACGGCATCTGGTGGTCAGGCTTGCTTCCAATTGTGTAAATCGATGCTCATGCTGTTGATCACTGGATTGTCTGGTCCAGACTCGATTATTTACAGAGCCACCATATAGCTGGAATACTGCTGATAGAAACAATTAAACATTCGGTATACTCCTCAGGGAGCTGAGAATGAAAAAATGAATGACTGGACAATAGTTCATATTATTTCAATTATTATTATTATTTTTAATAGTTATTTGCATGACAGTTTTTTAACAGATGTTATTTTATTTCAGAACCTCAGTCACATAGTTCAGGAGACCCGTGGTCTTCCAGTAACCCGATGCCTTCATCCTCCTACCAAGCTTCCATCACAAGTGGTTCACATTATTCACAAAACTCCCCTTATACCAGTATGCACCATCCACATGAAACAGTAAGTGTCTCATCCACCATGAATGAACCCTTTGTTGCGGATATTCAAACAAAAGGAAATTTGATTCGCTTTCATATGAATACCCACTTGTTTGAAGAACCCTTTGTTGTAGACCTGTGAAGATCCGGGTTAGAATTGGTCTTGAGTATCCCATGTTTGTCGTAAGAGTCGACTAACAGGTTCGGATGGTCAGGCTCGCTGACTTGGTTGACACATGTCAGCTTATCCCAATTGTGTAGATCGATGGTCATGCTGCTGATCACTTGATTGTCTGGTCCGGACTATAATTTACGGACCGCTGCGATATAGCTGGAATATTGCTGACTGTGGTAAACAACAACCGACCCTATTGTGTGTATTCTGAGGAATGTGCTTTCGTATTAATACCCATTTGTTTGAAGACTTCAATGCTGCGTCATACCCATTATTTGGCTAGATTGGTAAATTATGGTGAAATTTAACGAAATGAAAATGTTTTAGAATGGTTCGAAGCTGTTTATTTGTGAAGTAAAAGTAATGTGCAACAAAAATTGGGATAAATTTGTCTGGGGAAAACATTATGGAAAAATAATTTGTCAAACAATTATGCTTTTCAGCATGAGGTAGAATCAGATAAAAATATGTTCTGGAGATTAAGATATTAATCACTTCAGTTTAGGTAATTTCCCATAGTTTTACCCCTTCATTGGGAGTGATTCATTCATCTCGGGTCTGTATCAGCATGAGTAGTTGTAGGGGAACAGCAGATGGATTTCTTCATTGCAAGCTGTTGACAGGGAAATAGTGCAGCTGCCGTGTGGGTTATGTCACTCTATCATGAACGCAGACAGCCGAAAATGATTCCCAACCAAATCTTTGGCACTTGTATATACTTATCTTTTTTCCTCTTAGAAACATATTTTGAAATCATATTGTTAGATGGGCACTGAAATAGCGTCATGAGAGAATTTTTTCACTGATGAATAACACAATATTTTGGCAGGAACTGTTTATCCTGCTGTTTTAAGATAATTTTGCCATTTTCATGTATTATCAGATATAATCGTGTTGTTAAATTGTATATGATTTAACTAATATGATAGTGTGCAGGTCAATGGTAGTTAATTTGTACCTAAGATATTTAAAAAAACATAAATCAAGAAGAAATAATTACAAAATGCCGCAGTAATTATTGCGTCTACTTTTTGAATGTTGGACACAATACCACATGTTAGCTATTCCGGTGAGAAATATTTACATGAGGATGGTCTTAATCATAATATACTATCTTGTCCCCCCAATTTTTTTCTGAAATATTCCCCACCACATGGCCAGGTTTAGTGGTTAGATTTTGGGCCAAGATGTATCCCAGATGGCTCGGCTCTCTCGGGAAGCCATTACAAGCGATGACCTCTGAGCTTCTTTGTAATTTGCCTTGCAAACATCCGGTCCAATCGCAGTTATCTGCCCTTCATGTAACTCTTCAATTTACGTAGAGACAAGTCCAGAAAGTGTATATTTATATACAGCGAAACTATGTAGAAACATTTTATGTAACTGGCAATTTTGTGGTACTTTATTTTTGGGTTTGATTAAACATGGTAGCCGTCGGATGATTTTACACCTAAACTGAGTTCATTGGGACCTTCGTTTCAGAGCAATGTCATTTCAAACTGAGTTTTGCAGACATTTTTTAGAGAGTTAAGATTTACTCTGAACGTAAACAATTTTAAGGAATTTTGTTTGAAACTTTAAACTCGTCAGCTATTAGTCTGAAATCCATGTTTGCAAAACCAAATTAGTTAGACATGATTTGTGATTATTTTTAAATGCCAATTATTATTTTTAAATTTAAAAAAAAAATGTAATCAAAGAATCATGATAAGCTTTTGAAATGACTATCACAAGTATGTTTTACTATATTGCACGTATCGGATGGCGTCTGAATGCTGATTCTGTTTCCAGGGCTACCATCCTGTGTCACCCAATCAGGAATCTCTCATGTCGTCCGGTCTTCCCCCAATGTCCACGTTCCGAGGTGGACCTGCCATGCCCAACACTTCCACTGCATATTCTACAACATCGTCGTCCGTCAATGGATCCGAGATGATGTCGAATCGGCCGCAGGGCGGTTCACAGACTGGTGATGCACTAGGCAAAGCATTAGCATCAGTAAGTATCAAAGATATATCAATATGGTTCATGTTTGTCCATCGTCTTTACGTTTGTGCATACAACATTCATCCATTGCCGCCTCCATTGCAAAATCCGTTGTAGCCCTGTGGTTAAAGCGTTAGCCAGCCACAGGTTTGAGCCAGCCACAGGTTTGATTCTGAGTCCCCATGGGTACAATATGTGAAGCCTTTTCTGGAGTCCCTCATCGGGAATATTGCTAAAGAGACTCACTCATCGGACCACTCACTCACTCACTCACTCACTCACTCACTCACACACTCACCTCACTCACTCACTCACTCCCAATGTCTCACTCCCCTCATGAAATTATTTCACTCATGAAAACAGTTGCTAGTTCTAACCACTCACCAATCAAGCCACAACCTGGTGCTAGTTCTAACCAACCAATCAAGCCACAACCTGGTGCAGGGGAAAACCAATGAGAACTCAGACCAATGATTTAAACACATGGAAGACAATGTTTTTGTGTAACATGTTGTCATCGTGTGGTTAGTTGCTTTAGACATGACTCAGGGTTTTATCCCGACCTCCTAATGTAGGGTTCGACAAGACCTTACAGAAAATACAGGGTTAAGTAGAGTAATGACATCATGTAGTGTAACATGAGATATAATAATAATAATAGTCCACTTTTATAGCACTATTCCAAGATGAATATCTTTTTCAAAACGCTATTATTATTACCTCTGATAACCCAAGCTTCCTCTGATGCGCTAGAAGGGTAATAGTCACATGACTTATCCCACCGGGTACCCATTTTCTGCTGGGTGAAGAGGCCATTTTTAACAAATTTATTAACTACATGAAAGTTGATTCTTGTCATGAAACTGGCGCAATAAATATTATTGTGCATCCCTCAGAAAGCAATAAGTTTTTTCAGTATCCATTCTTTTCATTTATGAGAACTGGACTAGCCTAGTGGTTAAAGCGTTTGCTTGTCATGCCAAAGATCCGGGTTCGATTCCCCACATGGGTACAGTGTGTGAAGCCCATTTCTGGTGTCCCCTGCTGGAATATTGCTGTGATATTGCTGGAAAATTGCTGTGATATTGCTGGACTATTGCTAAAAGCAACGTTAATCTGAACTCACTGACTAAACCCTGCACTGCAGAAGTATCAGCCAGTGGTTGGGTTACTCAAACTTCAGAGTTTGACTTCCGTGATCTGGCCTCATTTTGTTCATAGATAGACACATCAACACTTCAAATCATCCGTATGTGTTCACAGAAAATGGATTAATTAAATTTCTCAAGACACGCAACGTATGGTGAATGTAGACAAACTTTGACATATTTAGGATGGGATTTGCCAGTCAGAGAAATATCGAGCTGAAAGGTTTTTAGATACTCGCCGTCTGCTGTAACATGGCTGGGAGAAAAGGTGTTCACTTCAGTATGAATTTGTGTAAAAATCCATCCCTGTTCATAATATGTATGAAAACATTTTTCACTTGCTAACCCTGCATTTTGAGCTCACTGAAAATCTGACTGTTTTTGGCTGCTGAATTAAATTATCCCATGGATGTTGTTTGAAATATTTGAATGTCTGTGTGTCTGTGACTCTGGGACCAACCAATAAGTATCATATACCTTCCTATCCATTCAGAGGAGCAGGGTAATTGTTCATTTTTTCAAAAATTGTATTTGAAAGTACGTCAGTGAGCAGTTTTATTAATTTTATGTGATACCTGCAACAAAATTAAAATTGCCTGGATTTTTGGGAAAAAATCTTATGGTAGAATATCAAATGGTGTTTCACTGACAAAGGATACCATGGTATGAAACGTGCCGTCCATGAACAAAACATTTCATTAACTGTTTTCAATTTTTATTTTGTTTTTCACTGTGTGAGAACAATCTCTGTAAGGTTATGTGGAAACTGAAAAATACTTTTGGCAATAAATATTTGTTAACAAAGATGCTGAAAGGGGAATAATTTAAGCCAATCTAGACAGGGCTTTTGTTAAACATTTGGCAGAAAATGATAATCAGATTAGGTTCAGCATCAGCTTTTGTGAGGCTCTTTTTGAAGATGGTTGTGCCGTTGTTTTTGAATTTGAAGTGCAAATTTAGTGACCCTGTACGTATTTTAGTTGATGTGGAATGTGGCTAGTGTCTTTGGTAACTATTCGTCTGGAAGAAGAAATATATGATTGAGAAAGCATGTGAATATGGCATGAAATGAATGAACATTTCTGATTGCATGTCGGTTATCAGAAACATTTAGCTGTAATAGCACCTGAATGGATTCTTTTGAGCGAACTGGATTTGGAAACAGTAAAACTGGCCACCATTTTGGTTGCCAGTACAACTAATTTTTAGGTATAGCTTCAGGATTTATCTTCGTCATGACCTCCTTGTGGCTTTGAATTCGGCTACTGAAATTTTGTCTGGGCAAGCTGGAAAATAATTTTCGAGGGCGGGTGTCCCTGTGAAAAAAATATTTGTTTCCTGTCTAATTATTTGAGTTAATATGAAATACTCAGCATTTCACTGAAATCAGTGACTAGTCCGTGACTAGTCTCTACTTTCAAGATGAGTAGTTGTGTGTGATTAGTGTGTTCTGAATGCTGCATGCTGGGTGCTTATGAAGTTGTGTAATTTGTGTCCTCCGTGTGTAGGTACCTCAGCATCGACGTGCTCCTCCGCCCCCTCAACAATCCTCTCAGACGGCCGCGACGTTAGGAAAAGCTTTAGCCTCAGTGAGTTTCTAGTCACAGCTGTTCGTAGGAAGCAGCATTTGTGTTTCCAAAATGTCAAAAAAACATGAAACAAAATCCTGTATATCAAACTTTTGAAACTAAATTCTTTTAAATTTTTTCCTGAAATGTCCTTGCATTTTATGGTTGAAGCTTTCGGCATATCAAATCACTTCTCTTGACAACATATTTTAAAAATCGATAAACATAAGTTGAAATTTCACAATTTGAGTTATAACTTATAAACTTGATTGAAAAAAATGTAGTTCATAGAACTTATTATTAAACTGTAATGGAAAAAAGGCTTTTTTGTCTATTAAACATGTGGGACAATCGATTGTCTGTTTACAAGGCTGTGAATAAACAAAGAATTATTTTAAAGCACGCATCTTTTCACATCTTAACCATCTGATAAAATCTAAAAGATTCCGCATTGTCTTAGACTTGGAATGGAAATGGAATATGGTCAATGTGAAAAATATCTGCTGAGTATAATTTTGAAAATACATACATGTTGACAGTATTGAAAAATGTCTCAGATTTTGTTACAGTTAAGGTGCATGAAAGACTTCAGCCAGTCGACTGGCCAAGACAAAGAGTAGTTCATGGGTTTAAGTCAATGAGTAAATCTTAAGAAAGGTCAGGGATTCAAGTAGGATTCAAACTAAATATGCTCTTGACAGAAACAAACATTGCTTTGATAAAAGTTTGGATTCTTTTTAAAGTTCTTATTTCAGAGGAATTTTAAAATTGTCATTGTCAAGTAAATTAAGCATTCAAGAATATTACTGTATATTTTTCCTGTAATATGTAAATTACAAGCTTTCTAATCAGTTACGTATTTGTACATAAAAATGGAATTTCTTATTTACATTGAGGAATTTTCACTTACATCAACAGACTTGTGTCAAATGTTGGACCTTTAGCGGGTCAAAGAAAATCCCTGAAAGTGTTAGGTTTGAAGTGAAGGCTGAACCATGTAGAAAAGTCATTAGTCAAAAGTTAATTATGTTTATGGAAATAGTTCAAAATAATATTATTAAGGCTAAGTTTCTATTTTCATCTTTGTTAATTTGACCTACGACTGCCCAAAAGCTATGTGCACAGTTTGATTTCACCATGTTTTCTTGCCTTTGAACATACTCCCTGAAATTCAGATTGAAATTGTCAGTAACATTTGGCAAATATTCTTTCCTTTAAAGTCCTGACATACTCGGCTATCGCGTATCGCTGTCAAAAAATGCGTATCACCTTTGTGAAATGGAGAGTATTTTATGTCGCTATGGAAACCATGTGTTTTCCCAGTCGGTAAATTCGCAAGTCATATGCATCGCAGCTGAGGCAGTTGTACGAAGAATAACCTAAACATCATACGTGAGACCAATAAACATTTGACAGGGTCTGGCCGGAGCTGGCTGCAAAATATGAAACAGGGATAGACGGAGATTAGTTTCGAAATTGATTAAATTGGTATCAGAGGGGGAGCCGATTCATACCGTGGCCTTTATCCCTGAGGGGAATGCCTCTCTCAGGAGGGACGTCACTATTGAGACATGGCATGGTCTGCACCTGCAAGTCATTGTACCATTGCCACGAGGGAATGTGATTTTTACACCCTTTTAAATACCACAATATTCCTGTCATTTGGATAGCATGGTTGTGCTTAGGCTGTTGGAGATGATGGATTCCTCTGTGTAGGTGACATATCTGTCGGAAAGCAGAGTTAGGTGGAAATCTTGCATAAACTGCAAATTCTACCTGCTCACTGCTCTTGAAAATGAACTGAACCCTTTGAAATTTAAGGATCATTGATCTATTAGGGAATATCAACATTTTGGGGGTCATGAATATTTTGGGGGAATCCTGAATATTTGTGGAGGAATCATTAATAATTAAAGATCATTGATATATTGGAGATTATCAGTATTTAGGGGATTTGGAACATTTGAAGCATCATTAATAATATATTTGATTTTTTAGGGTGAAGTGTTTGTCCACAATTTGATAAAAATACTTTCCAATATTCATGATCTTTTTCCTTTTTGTTCAGTGCAAATATAGTTTGTTTTATACTTTCTAAAATTTCCCAAACTTTTTTGATAGTTTGTCTGACATTGTATTAAGTCATAGTCAGCCATATTAATCTCTTGGACAGCTGCAATTTTGGATAATTTGCATAAGTTTAGTTTAGAGATTCAAAGAAAATTGTCTTCCGTAATATAATTTGCTGCAATGACGTGTTAATGCTATGGAAAGCATGAATGTGGTTTGTGTGCTGGTTTGGTTACAATGCACATAGATAATATGTATGTATATTTGTCAACATACTACTCAAAGATGTTAAGGAACGTCTGGCAGATTACCTGTGGTAACATGAATGAATTGGTTCTTAACTTTTTTGAGCGGTTAACTTTTCTTCCAACTGAAACTTTTAGAGAAATGACAATTTTCCTTTTTTTTAAATTGTTTATAATTAATTATGTATGTTTATCTATTTCCAGATATATTCAACGGAGCACACAAATTCTAGTTATGGAGGGTCTAACCCATCCACCCCTGTGTCCTCACCCCCACCAATGTCAGGTGAGCTTTGAGTTACATAATTAATGAAGCGGAGTTGTGACAGGCTCCACTGTTTGTATGACGAAACTTAAGTCTAGCATAATTACAGTCCTCGTATCTGTATTAGGGGCGGTGGGGTAGCCTAGTGGTTAAAGCGCTGGCTCATCACACCGAAGACCCCACATTCGATTCCCCACATGGGTACAATGTGTGAAGCCCATTTCTGGTGTCACCTGCCGTGATATTGCTGGAATATTGCTAAAAGCTGCGTAAAACCAAACTTAGTCAGTTGTATGTATTATATGTGTGGTTACTTTCTCAAAAAAGATGTCTGTGATCTGCTTTTCCTTCGGTAGTCCTAACGCATAATATTGTAATTAATTAATTAATTTATTATCATTAAGCTGATTTCTCACCTGCCTGTTATGTTTGTTTCAGCTGGTCCCAATCCCAACTGGCATCGCCCCAGTAATACTAGTACTACCTCGCCTCACTTTGAGAGTCATCTCCACTCACTGGTAGGTGGCGCTGTCAAAATGACACGATTTAACTTTATTGGTCGTACCTGGGATATAAATAATCGTATCACATATTCAAGAAGTTTGCTGTGATGGTTGTATGCGTGTGTTGCTTGGTTGCAATTTGATTTGATGAATCATAAGCTTGGAAGTTCGAGGCTATGTTATTTAAGACGGCCTTTTAGAAGATGGTGATATTCGTTATATTACATTTCCTTAAAATGTTCTCAAACACTTTGAAAAGGCAGAAAGGATATACACCTATGATAAGTAACAAATGACTTAAGGTTTTGGCCCAGCATGGGAACGTGAATGTGATTGGTCAGCATTATTGTGATGTTTAATGTCTTCACTCCTTATTCCACCTACAAATTTCTTTGTGTTTTGTCAATTTGCTGCAAAATATTTACCAAATTCCATCCTGTGTCTTAAAGTATGTCAGTATTATTTTCGAAGAAAGTGCACAGGTGAAGTTTTATGTTCAAATCTGATTGCAACCAGGTCAGAAATGGGGTTCATATTATTTTCATTGGTTAGTAAAGATTGATTTTATATCACTATTTTCATTTTAATCTCACAATTGCCATTCATGTCTGCCTTGCATGGTTCATTTATGTCATCTGCATGTTTAACTAACTGTCTCCTTTCTCCTCCTTCCCCTTCCCTCCCTTCCCCCACTCGCTTCGCCTTCCCACAATCCCCCGACAGACTGGTCAGATGGAGGAGCGCCTCAGCCAAGCCATTCAAATACTGGGAGAACATGGCCCCAACCAGGTAATGCAGCCCTCCTACAGTCCACCTGATTGGTCCATTCGAAAACACAAAGCTTGATGACCAGTTATGATTGGTCAGTTTTTCAAACTAGAGGCTGAAAATCAAGCCACAATTGGCCAACTAAAAAACAAGTACCTGACAGTCTAGCTGTGATTGGTCAACTCTAAATTAACTGCTAGCTGTTTAGCTGTGATTGTTCAACTCAAAAACAAGATCTTAATAGTACAGCTGTGATCAGTCCATTCAAAAGCTAGATCCAAATGTGATTGGATAGCCTCAAAAGATGTTGAGCTGCGATTGGTCAAATCAGTAACTGTGTCCTTAAAAGCCAGCTGTGATTGGTCTATTCAAAACTGAATAACTGAAGGTATGCTTCTTGTAAATTCACTCTTGAAATTTCACAAATGTTATTTATCAATCAAATTTGTGTATATTGGCCATATTCTTTAAAATAAATGTTTGAGGATGTATTTCTACAAAATTGTTCTTGATGTCAGTATCTGTAGACATCTCTTTGAACTGAAAGGCTGACTCCCAAATTAGGGCCTATTCCTCTATGGCATTTTATGAATAAATCCGCAGACCCACTTAGATTGTAATTTTCCATTGCTCCCTAACAAATTAATTTGCTAAACTCTCACATCATTTGATCTTTTTCATGTTTCTGCATTGAAAAACAATTGTTCCTTTCGTGAAGTGTTGTTCGGATCTTCTATACATTTATACGCAGAAACATTTTATGATAATATTGATGTCCAGAAAAGAAGCAATTAAATTTTGAAATTATTTTTAGTGCCTGCCGAAATCTTAATGCACTGACTGATTTTCTTTTTTCACTCACTCATTCATCATCATCTGAGTATCACACTGAGGAAATCTCACACCGACTAGTTATCAAACAAATTGCATGAATGGTTGGATTTTTTTTATGTTTTAATTTTTTTTAATGTTTTGTCTGCATTTTTCTGAGTGCATGCTGAGGCTGCATGTCATCGTATCCCAGTCCATAGGTCGATGCTCATGTCAATCACTGGATTGTATGGTTTAGATACAATGTTATTCACACATCTCTCAACTTTAATATTGATGTTTGATAATCGTATGATGCATTGTTGATAAGGGTCCAAAGCCTCTTGTTTGTGATACGAGCTGGTTTCATGTCGGCATGACTTACCACCTGTTTACCAGTACTGCTACCAATGAAGGTCCGGGTTAGAATTGGTCTTCAGTAACCCATGCTTGTCGTAAGAGGTGACTAACAGGGTCGGGTGGTCAGACTCGCTGACTTGGTTGTCACATGTCATTGTATGCCAACTGCGTTGTCACATGTGATCGTGTCCCAGTTTGTGTAGGTCATTGCTCATGATATCGGTCACTGGATTGTCTGGTCCAGGCTCGAATATTTACAGACCACATCATTTAGCCAGAATATTGCTTAAAGTTAAACTACCGTATTGTAGTGGACTGAATGCCTTTTTCCAAAAATATAATTGATTGTTTGAATGATGCATGGATTAGATAGTTTGACGATTGAGAAAACTCTGCATGGGGCTTGCATATCAAGCAGTTCCTAATCAGTCTTTTATTCTTCTCACTATTATCATGCACCTGTAGTAGTCTTATGCACTGCGTCATCTTTGCCGAACTGAAAAAAATATCTGTTTCAGCTCAATTTAGCTCAGGTTCCTCCTTGTATATTCGAGATGTTCAGTTATTAAGGAAAAAACACACAAAAAACAAAGAGTATTGGGCTCTGATCAGAAGTCAAATGAAGCTATTTGGTAACATGTAGAGCTTTGAATTGTGTTTATTTGATTAAGACATCATGATGTATGAGTTATCTCCCCTTCCAGCAAAGCAAGATGGAGGAGAGACTTGACGATGCTATTCATGTTCTACGCAACCATGCCGAGCACCAACCAGGGATGCCGAGTCATCTGGGGATGCCGGGAATGTTGGCACCTGGACAGTCCAATGGAATTCTGGGAAATATGGGGGGCTACCCAGGAATGGGCATGATGCAAGGACACATGGATGCGCATATGGTGAGCTGAAGCTTGGATACATTGACGTTGTTCAATAAAAATTGGAAATATTTTTGAAGGAAGAAAATTTGCATCAGGCCAGGGGCTCAATCCACAAAGCTTTCATGGCCGGACGACTTTTTAACTCTAGTTTAAGAGACATTCACCTGTCAAAGCTCTTTTAACAGTTTGAAGATCATTCACAGAGTCATTGTTACGCTGAAATGATCGTAATACAAATCCATTTAACAGGATTACAACTGTTGTTGCGATATGATTGCTATGTGGAATGGGCCCTGATTGGTTGCTTTCTACAGCGTTGGCTCGTCACGCCGAAGATCCGGGTTCGATTCCCCACATGGGTACAATGTGTGAAGCCCATTTCTGGTATCCCCTGCTGTGATATTGCTGGAATATTGCTAAATGAGGCATAAAACCATTCTCACTGGTTGCTTTTGTCAGGCTCGCTGGCTTGGTTACTGATTACTGAAGGTCATTGAATCCAGCTGTGTATATCATTGCTCATTAAGTCGATCACTGGATTGTCTGGTCCAGATTTACAGAGTGCCATGTAATAGCTGGAATATTGTGATTGGTATTCAGCATAAAAACATACATACTTGTCACAAGAGCTGACCAAAATTGACATTGCCAGTTTAAATCGATGCTTATTAAATCAATCACTGGATTGTCTGGTCCAGATTACAGAGTAGCATTGTATAGCTGGAATATTGCTGCATGTGGTGTTCAGCCTGAAACGATTTGTCACAAGACCTGAGTGAAATTGAGATGGTCAGAATGCTGTGACATGCCTGAGTGTTATACCATAGAGGTTTGGTACGGTGTTATACCCCAGAGGTTTGGTACGGTGTTTTGGAGGTCTGGTACGGTGTTATACCCCAGAGGTCTGGTACGGTGTTTTACCCCAGAGGTCTGGTACGGTGCTCATACTATCTGTCACTGGTTTGCCCCTCAGGTTCAGGTAATATCAGATTACCATTATGTGACTAAAAGGAACTGGTTGATCTCAAATCATGACTGTTTTCGTTATCCCGTAGGGTGTGGTTTCCATCTACTGACCTCAAGCTAATGCATGGGCTCAAAGTTGTAGTGGGTCGGTAATTGCTAGTGTAGGTGTTTGTTTACCTTGTCAAAGGGTTCAAACTGTGTCCACTGTATTGATATTGGTAAAACACTCACTCACACGCTCGACCAGAATGTTTAACATAATGAATATTACAGTTGGTATGCACATGTTCACATGGGCCCCCAAAATAGAAATTCTGTGCTTGACGCTTGTAAATTCAGCAACTATTTTTTTTCACAATTCTGCACACATTTTGCAGACTTGTAAGCTTAGTTTCCATGTATTTGCAAGTTTTTCAACTTGTGATGGGTATTTTTCTGATAATAATAACTTATTGCAGTGAATCTGGTTACATGCGCTTTTGCTGCCAGTAACACAAATGTGGACTTTACATCATAGTGAAATCAGTATGATATTTCAAAATATGAAACAATTTAAGATGGTTTGTAAATTGTCTTTTTGTCCCTCTATACTACAATTAGATCAAATCTTTGGAATGATTTAATTAGTGGAACCCGCAATTAAACTAACAATTGTCTCAGTTAACTGATGCAACCTTTACCAATCTAACTTTTTGATTCCATGTTAAAATACTCAGCACAAAAGCGATTTTCTGAACGATAGGTACATATTCTGCCCCAACAGGGTATTTCTGAAAATGGTAATATGGACAGATATATAATTATGTATTTTATACGAATGTATGAATCCTTGATTCCATCTTTAAAAGAAAGGTATAAAAACATCTTTGGACCACCCACACTCACTACTGCATTCGTGAGATGACCAGTCGTTTAATTGGCCCAAACTTGTTTGATATGATTCATGAAGATGGTGGTGGCAAGTATGTTCAAATATTTAAGCTGCACAAAATATGTTTAAGAGCTTAATTTACATTTTCGAGAATTCAAGATAGACAGTTATAAGTTTTTGGACAGGAAGTTCCATGCAGGAAGAATTGTGGGTTGCGAGATGGTGCTCAGCACCAGCTGGGTAATGGCCAGCACAGATGAACATCTGGATTTCGTATAACACTGCTTCAGTTGCCTTCTAGCACAGCACCATGGGAAATAACAGTTGTATCATGGGATTGATATCAAAGAAATGGCTTTGTGATGAATTGATAACAATATGATAAGAAATGGTATACTTTAAAAACTAAGTCCAGTGCAGTGAGATGTGGTAAGAAACAAAATGGCCGAAGAGACGCATGGGAAACTTTGTCAGTCCTTTTTGCAAGGTGGAATTTTAAACCCAGATTTTCTTCCAGAACTTGGGAGGCAAATTTGCTTTTAACGGAGGAACCTGTTCCCACAGCTGTGTTTAATTACAATCCCAAATCGCAAGAAGCGTGCATCTGTTTTTCATTGGGCATAAGGCTCACTCCCCCATCCAGCCCCAGTTTGGCCAACCTGGCTGTTTATTTTGTAACTGACAGTGGAGAGAAAACAAACGATAGCGGCCAATAGGAAGGCAGCATTATATACTGTGTTCCGATATATAAACAGGAAAATGCCAGATACTGGACCCGCAGAAGGTCATATTATTTCCATGTGACTCTGTCGTAGCTGTGTGAAGACAATGGGAAACACATTGTTAAACAATGCTCTCTATTGTGATGGCTGCTCAAATTCAATTGTTCGTTTGAAATCAGAGAAACTTCATTGAAAAAATCCTACCAATTTCTGTTGCGAGCATTTTGAGGGTTTTTTCCTTAAATATGTTGATATCATTTTTCCTTTCTTGTGATGACTCAAACCTTTGCTGGAACACGTTTGTTAAACTTAGTGGTTGGTTCACGCTTTTAGTATCGGACGATAAACAATCTCAACTAGATTTAGAAATTGTTTACAAACAGTATTTTCTGAACTTGATTTAAAAAATAATTTTTACAAACAGTATTTCATTAAAAAAATAAAGTAATAACAATTTGTTAACTGTGATAGATAATTCGAACCTGATTAAACCTGATTTGCCAGAGTTAAATATTTTTACTCTCTGGACAAGTAAAATCAGTGGTATAGTTTATTCATTTCTGTTTATTTATGGTTAATCATTTTTGGGTCCATTAATCCATTAGATTAAAATAATTATTTCCATTTCTTTTGACAGTTACATTAATTAGGACCATGTTAACGAACAAGATAATTATTCACGTTGTCATTGTCTTCCTGGAGAGAGCCGAGTCTCTCTCCAGCAATGATAAATCCTTCTCAGTGGGCCTCTGATTGATTGCTTCTGCACATATGGCAAGCGTTAAAGAGAGAACTTGTAACATCTTGTAGAGTGGGTTAGATTGAGTCTATCAAAATATTTATTGGGTGTAGGTTCGAGTTACTCAAAACTGAGGCATTTGTCGGCCACATTTTGCGAATTACCGTTTCTTTCACCAGAAAGTATCCAAAAAGTCAATTTAACAAATTGTAATGCAAGTACATAAAATGTCCCATTTGTGAAAATTGAAAGGAAAAGTTGCTTTTACGGGTGATTAAACTAATTACATGATCAGCTAATATTGGAAGAAGCTGCATTTGAAATATGATGCTTGTGTTTTGCATTATGAAATAAAATGGGAAAAAATCAAAGAATTCCTTATATGTTTCAAAAAAGGAAAATACATTGGTTATTGAGAAAATTGTTAAAAGAATATATCATTATCGAGTCTTGGAGAATCCTATTTGCTGTGATACACGTAGCATGGAACTGTAATGATTTATGAATTATGAGCGTGATTTTAAGCAATTTGCCAGTCGTGTATGTGTGTATGTGTTAGACCTAGTATTTGTTAGCATATGCAAGGCATACACATGGATCTGATAATGACTAGTTTTACCCAGATGTGTGCCATCAGTATTCCGTAATTTGCAAGATGCCGTCTTCCTAATGACTCTGTAAAAAGGCTTCCGCACTTTGTTGACTCATTAATTAGTTTTCCTGTCTGAGTTGGAGTTTGGACGTGGGGATTCGAGATCTTTACCGAGAGATGGGTTCGGGTACATTGAAAATAAAGAAAATGGGATGAAATTTGCAGATTTGTCGTACGATTTTTCAATGTGGTGCTTCCGCCCCAATAGCTCCCCTCCGCTGAGCAGCTGGGTTTCTCGTTAGAGGCAGACGCAGATTCTGAGGGTGCGCCATTGAAGTATGTTGCCATGCTTTTTGCGTTGGCTTCAAGTATTCGCACACATGTTGCGCCTTTTGGCAAGTGTTCATCGTAGCTAGGCTCAACTCTGCATTCTGTCAAGGCCTGCCTGGAGATCAGTGAGAGTGTTAAAACAGATATTTCCTTGCCCGTCTGCCGATTACTTCTTACAGTAAAACAGATTGCGTTGATGTCTGTGTATGGCGTGTGTCTCCCTGTAGCAGACCCGGTCCTGTCTCAGAGATCACTGTACAGACCGCAGATCTCCGACTGACAAACCAGAACACTCCTCTCTACCGGGTGTTGACTGTTAGAGAGATAGCTGCCTCGCTGTGGAAGAGAGCCACTGTGCTATGTTAGACAGTTGTTAGGAAGATTGTATGCAATGTAACACTAGTTGTCAGGAGAGTATGGTGTGGTGTGCAGCTGGAAGGAGTATTTAGCCTGGTGCAGGTGTATCGTAACACAGCTGTTGCCGTGGCGATGTACCCCAACACGTGGGGGTGTGGATGGGCAGGATCAGGACCTTCGTGGCAGGACCAATATGGCCGTCAGATATACCCACAACAAATCTCGCCTGATCCAGCGTTACAGAACATACCAGCTCAACGGCATCAACAAAACTCGCTACAACAATGTGCAATGCAAAAGTGTTCACCGTCCCAGTCGATGCTGCAACAATGTGCGCCAATACAGACGTTTCCGAAGAAATGTGTCACTCAGGACCATCAATTCGCACAGATATCGCCGATGCAACAGTATTCCCCACAACAAACTCCACTTCAACAATATTCATCTCAGCAGCCATGGTACTTTCCCAACTACTGGGTATGTTTGATCAAATCTGGATATGAAAGGATTTGGAATATACCACTCAAATTGAAACAGATTCGAATGGAATAATGTTTTTCACAATTCATGGAATTATCCAGTGTGGCTTGTATTGATCGATTTCTAGGGATGGACGGAGGATATTTTTGTATCTGTATTTGAAGACAATAATCTTTTGATATTTCAGAATGTTCTGAATATTTTTTCTGAGGTCTTATTTTCTTAACAGTGAATGTATGAAGTGTTCCAGTGATTTATTTACAATAAGTATCAAAAGTGACAAGTCTACCTGCGTTATAGTAGACAAAAATAGTTGTTGGGAAAACAGTTTAACATCCACCAATGTGAGGAATGTTGGTTGTTTTGCGGAATGTTTTCTCCAGGTTAATTACTGTGCCATTCACAGCCGTTCAACAAGGGAGTCGATATAAGGCTGATACATACCTAAAACCCTTCAAGAACCCTTCAGTAGGATACAAAGTCTATCAGCAGTCTATATGTAGAACTGTTTATGAATAGTTTGATCTTCAACTAACGACCAGGATTTTACTCCTAAAATTTGACAGTTTTAAAAATGGGAAAGCTAATGAAAGTTTAAAATGTTTTTGGAGCTTAGTTATTTTTGGATAAATTATGTAGGTTTTCTCTTGATATTGTCTAACTGAGAGCTAACAGGGTTATATACTGACCACCTACAGTGTTATAACACTGTTTATTTCCCTATCTTGTCCAAGCCAACACGGAAACCATGAACTACGTAAACTTGCTTATTGCTTAATTCCGTGTTGATGCAGTTGTCACTCAAGCCCTATCGCCAGCACCACCTGTTGGGAACAGCTGACATAATACAGAGTTATCCCCCTTGTTTGCATTGACAGACACTTTAGCCGAGTTAACTAAAACCATACCAGCTTGGAAGGCTTGGGTTGTTCACGTAGTGTTAATTGAATGTTTGAACAAACATGTGTAAAGGAAATAAAAACAAGACCGGCCCGATTTTCTGAATTTGGAATGGTTTGTACCGAGTCTTGAAAAAGGTCAAGAAATATATCAGCAGCTTGAACTGACTCCGCTTGGTAAGAGCAGACTTCAGAAGAATTTTGCGTTAACTTTGAAAAATATCTGTCACATATTACTTTCATGTCAGTTTTAGAACATTTATGATTAAAGATGCAGATTCCTTAATGTGTTAAACAGATTATGGTAGTTTTAAAGTGAGCGTCATGTTAAGCAATATATATTATTAACAATGATATCTTGTTTCTAATTTTCAATCATGCAAGGATTTAGTGTTTCATAGAGACTAGTATTTGGCCCAAAGTATCTATCTAAAAATTCCAATTTATGTTAATATAGTTTTAACTAATGTACATGGTACTTAAAGGGCAAGATGCTTAGTTTTACAGTATTTGATCAAATGTAATGTTTAAGCCAGTGTTACTTCTCAAAACTTAAATAAGAAATAATGAATAAGATTTCCACAGTCTGAACAGTTTTGCCTCCTTTCCTGCTGAGGGTCCAGGGTTTTAAACCCATGGTTGTTGAGTAATGAGTATCTTTTTTCACCGGATGATAGTTAAATCTTTCAGTTGTAATTATTTAAAGAATGAAAGGCTGGATATATTATCTATGAACTATTTAGGCAACTTTTGTCTGTTACCTTCTTTGCTCATGTTGGGGGGTGGGGTAGCCTAGTGGTTGAAGCGTTCGCTCTTCACGCTGAAGACCCGGGTTTGATTCCCCACATGGGTTCCACGCTGTGGAATATTGCTAAAAGCGATGTAAAACCCAACTCCCTCACTCACACAATTTGCTCATGTTACAGTTTAATCGTGCAAAAATGAAATTTAATTTATTGGAATATTAGCAATTCCGAAGTTAAATTATGAACAATAAGGATCAATTTGTGGGGGGACAATAGCTGTTTTAGTTGGAAATGCAGTTCGCCTCATTGAAATTTTGTTGCTGTACCTGAGGCTTAGCGAGGCAAATGGTTTTGAGAATTGGTAATTGTGCAGTGACAGTTTTAGCTGTTTAATATTTTTTGGGGGATATATATGTTTCATATTTGGACATAACATGTATAAAGTGTTTATTGGATGTTATAATATTGCGTATACAGTGTTGGATGGATGTTATAATTTATGTAGTTTGATGGGTTTCATAGTTTTTGACAGATGGTATAGTGTTTATAGCCTTTGTGGATGGTATAGTGTTTATAGCCTTTGTGGATGGTACAGTGATTATAGCCTTTGTGGATGGTATAGTGTTTATAGCTTTTATGGATGGTATGTTTATAGAATTTGTGGATGGTGTAGTGTTTATAGCCTTTGTTATAACAAATCCTTTGGATGCTATAGCAAAATGTATATAGTGTTTGAGAGGTCCCACAAAAGAACTGATAGAATATTGCATATAATTTGCATCTGTGAAACTAAAGGACTGGTTTCTAATTGGACAGGGTAGGGTCTTAGCTGTAGAGTGGGTACCCGTAAGGAATACTTGCTGTGTGGAGGCCCCTGATCCCATAGGATGGTTCTCACTACAAACAGCTGTTGTGTTTTTGATGTGGCACAAAGTGATTCTTTGTGGTAGCAACTTGGAGCATTCCTGGTTAGAATGTATCTTATTTAACCTGTTAACAGATGGAGTGGTCGGTCAGGTGACTTGATTGTGTCATCGTACCCAATGGAATGAATCATGTCTTGATATCAATCACTGGATTTTCTGATCCAGATATTAATACATTTGTATTATATTTGTGTAGATATTGGTGTACTTGTGTTGAATTGTGCCCATACTCTACTGCGTGCTTTGTTCAGCAGGGAAGTCACCCATCGATGTCCGAGAACAGAAGTCAAAGTGGAGGAATGTCTGCATCGTCAACAGATCAGTCCAAAACATATGAAAGTAAGTTGCTACCACTGACAGTGTGCAAAATATTTTACAATTCTGAATTTATGCTCTTAATGTCAGCCACTTGGTTTGTCTGGAAGTGGCTCAAGCCCTCGAGCCATGGGGAGGTCTTCACTCGTTACGCCGAAGACCTTCAATTTCCACCACATGGGTACAGTGAGTGAAGCCCATCTCTGGTGTCCCCAGCCATGATAATGCTCGAACATTGCTAAATACAACTGATGACTGTGAGACTGATAGGAGATGTCTGACGGATAAAGTTTCATTTTATTGCCTATTATGTGCTAGGGGTCTTATACTACTCATGAAGGTCCGGGTTAGAATATTGATCTTCAGTAACCCATGCTTGTCGTAAGAGGCGACTAACGGGATCAGGTGGTCAGGCTGGCTGACTTGGTTGACACATGTCATCGGTTCCCAATTGCACAGATTGATGCTCATGTTGTTGATCACTGGATTGTCTGGTCCAGACTATTATTTAGAGACTGCCGCCATATAGCTGGAATATTGCTGAGTGCGGCATAGAACTAAACTCACTCACTCACTCACTCACTCACTCACTCACTCACTCACTCACTCACTGTGGGTCTTATACTGCAGAATATGTGAAATGGCCGTATTATTGCTTTAAGACATTGTTGAATACAGGCATTGTTGGAATATTGCTGACTATGGAATGTAGGTTTTATACTGCTGAATATATGACTGAAGTATTGCTGACTAATGGATTCCTTTCTCCACTAGACACTCGGTTATCACTGTTGAGTATCTATTGTTTGAGGGCGGAAATTTAGCTTAATGGTTAAAGCGTCCCCTCGTCAGGCCGAAGACCCAGGTTCAATTCCCCATGTATATACAATTTGTGAAGCCCATTTCTGGTGTTCCCCGCGATGATATTTCTGGAATATTGCTAAAACCGGCATAAGACCACACTCACTCACTCACCACACTCACTCACTCACTCACTCACTCACCCACTCACTCACTCACTCACTCACTCACTCCCTCACTCACTCACTCCTCCTCACCAACCACTCAACCACCCACTCACTCAACCACTCATCCAACCACCCACTCACTCACTCATCCAACCACCCACTCACTCACTCACTCACTCACTCACTCAGTAACATTCTTATAAGTTTCAAGTATTATTTGTTCTGTTAATGTTTATCTATTTACCATTTCAGATCTACGAAGTGACCAAACCCAGGAACCTAACACAGATGGATCCATCAAAGTTGAGATGGCTGATAAGAACATAGAAAATGACAATAAAGGCGATCAGCCTCCCAAAACGACAACCAAAGGGTCAACAAATTCAACTCCGCCTACAGGAAACCCCTTCCTCGAAAAGGTCAAGGTCAAAAGTGGACGATGATGACAACCTGTAAGTTTTTGCGTTAAATTTCTTTTCCTCAGAAAATATAAGCTAAACATTGTTGTGGTTTTAACATCCCTCCTAACTGATTGCAATTTCATTGCAATCTTTCTCAAATACATAAGTACCACATCATTCTCTTTATTTCGGTCAAGGTCAAGAGCTCATGACATTGACCTTGTTTATGATATTCCTTAAAGGCACAATTTCACACATTTTCGACAATATTTTGGCCTATATTATGTATATTGGGGCATATGCACTCACTTTAATTTTCTATTGATGTAGTAAATGACTTATTATCCCTTACGACTTGCTTGAAATTGATAATTGAAACTTGAGGCGAACAGCTTATGAAGAGAGAACACTTGCCATATATGGAATGTAAGCAATTGCTCCGTACATCGAAAACTGTCGCACGCGGTGTTGTCGATGTGTGCCGAACTGGTTTCAATCAGAAGTCGCACGTATGATATTCATCAAAAACGCTTCAAGGGACATAACTCTATTTGGTTCGCTTGAAATAATGTTCAGCTGGTAGAGGGCTCAAGAGACGATTAACTTTGCATTAATACATTCGAATTTTTTAATTTAATATTGTAATCTAAATGTGTAATTTTTATATTATATGATAGCTTCCCTGAGGGCTGATAGTGTTATTGAGAGAAATTCATTACTTATTTATAGATAAGTGTGGTGTGAAATAGTGCCTTTAACAATTTGTAATTCTTAAATTGTGTAGTTCTGTGATCACTGCTTATGCTGTTTTGTCATTGACGATTTACCCAATACATAAAAAGTACCTCTTTTACCCTATATTTCGGTCTTAGGTCAAGGTCAAACATGGACGACGATGATTTGTAAGTTACTTGTTGACAGTTTGTTCCACTTTAGAATTCTTAAGATGATGTGGTTCTTACATCACTGGTAAATGAACATAACACTTCATTATCAACCATTTACAAAGGACCATGGTATCACCAGAGTTTATGTGATATAGCTTTTAACAAGTTTTCCTATATTGTAATATTGTCTCATCTCAGTTGTATATACGTACCAAGTTTGATGTGAACTGTATCTATATTGTTATAACATTAGGTTACTGATATGAAGTTTGTTGCCTTAAGACTTTTAGTAGCTATATATTTATGTTGTCTAAGGTACCGCAATTCACAATTAAGGTACCCTTAGGAGGACAGAAACTGATGGTCTATGTTTGAATCTCAGATATGACTAGATTTCATGGTTTGTCTGTACCATTCCCATATTAGTGAAAGTGTGAATACACGATCCCATTTATAAGATGTAACATACATTGAGAAATACACTTCCCATTGTTATGCCACACTCTGAGATTGTGGGTTCGAATCCCAAACCCAAAAAGTACTAGAATTTGTACTTTAAGTCCCATCTGGGATTCGAACCCACACTGTCAGAGAGAGGAAAACAATTCAAGTCTGAGAACCATTAGCCTATATCATTTATGTGTTGTGTACCCTGTATATCTGAAAGTTAACGTGTAAGGCCTTGTGAGGTTTTCCTTTCCCTGCCGTGAAATACTTTGAAATGTTTTGAAATACTTTTCAAAGCGGCATAAAGAAACTTGCTCACTTGTGATTTATTGTGCTGATGTTTGAGCATGTCATGTGTTGTGGTTCTTGCTGTTGTATAGTGGATAGAAAGTCTAACGGGACAGCGGGTCGATCCCCAGCCAGGTCCAGTCCCGACCAGGTCAAGAAGCATTTAACAAATGCACTTGTCACCTTGTCCCACGCTTGCCATTAAGAGTCCGGCTGGCTCTGGATAGAAAGTCCACCTGGCTCTGGATAGAAAGTCCGCCGGAGGGACAGTGGATCGATCCCTGACCAGATCATTCCAAGAGGCATTTAACAAATGCACTTGTCACCCCGTCTCACGCTTGCCATTAAGGGATTGAGACCGTGCCAGTTTTGGCTAGAAATGTCGGCCCTAGAGACAGTGGGTCGCTTGCCATTATGGGGCTGCTGACTCTGAATCAGTTGACTGACCCTGCAAGGGGTGTGCATGTTGAACTGAAGCACGTCACCTCAGTGGGCTGTAGAACTGGCTTGACTACAGCAGTACGAGCGGCCAGACGAACATGAGCATGTCCATCACTAAGTGCAATAATCTTGAATACAACTTTAATCCCACTTTACCTCACGTGGGTTTGAGGAATTTGGGACTCGTGACCGTTATGGACTTTTATGGACCTTCAAAGGTGGTTGTCATAGTACCTTTTGGCAAGTCCTTGAGCCCCAGTGAACATTGGTTTTGTCACGTCAGCTGTGGCCTAACGGTGACAGCGTTTGTTAGTAACGCTGGAGACTGGGTTCGATTCCCTACATGGATGCATTTTATGAAGCCCAGTTCTGGTTTTCGCTGCCGTGATATGGCTGGAATATTGCTTGAAACGGCTCAAAACCATACTGGCTCCAGGGCATGTTTAAACTGTGCTCTCTTTTTTCAGAAGCGAAGGCGATGACAATGAGAGCCCCGAAGGTAAACAGGAACGTGAACGTCTCCGCAGACAGGCTAACAATGCCAGAGAAAGGTAGGTTGCATCCAAGACCACAGGGAAAGAAACCTTTCAAATTTCCCTCTAGACCACAGGACCAGTGAGTGGACAATAATCAGTGGTCCTGTCTGTACTTCACTGGTCCAAAATAACATCTGTAGATTTACTTAATAATCAATACAAAATTCACTGGTCACCAGGACCACTGCAAACTTATCATTTAGTGGTCCTGATGAATTTTTACTAGCCAGGGACCACAGGACCATCGTAAATGGTCTACGCAGCATTATGCTCAAACATTCTCTCTTCGGGTTGCTCTTTTGTGTTGAGGGTGGTGGGGTAGTGGTTAAAGCATCCGACTGTGCTCTCTTTATTATCCGTTGCCACCTTGTTTGAAAATTTTGGTATCAAAGGGAGAGAACTCATGTAATTGTCAATTCAGCCAGTATCTAGTCACCGACATTATGAAAGGAGATGTGTCGGTCTAAGGAAATGCAAGGGTGTTACTAGGCAATATGATTGGGTGTTAATAATCGATGTAATTGGGTGTTAACAGTGACTGGATGTTAACAGGCGATGTGACTGGATGTTTCAAGGCAATGTGATTGGATGTTAGCAGGCGATGTAACTGGATGTTAACAGGCGATGTTACTGGATGTTAACAGGCGATGTAACTGGGTGTTAGCAGGCGATGTAACTGGGTGTTAACGGGCGATGTGACTGGGTGTTAACAGGCTTGTGATGTAGCTGATTGTTCGTCTATTTCAGAGTGCGAGTGCGGGACATCAATGAAGCGTTCAAGGAGCTGGGTCAGATGGTCACCCTGCACTGCTCGTCCAGTCAGCCGTTGACGAAGCTGATGATACTACAGCAGGCCGTCAACGTCATCACCTCGCTGGAGCAGCAAGTCAGAGGTTAGAGGCATACATTACCAGATAGCATCACTGAATCCCATTTGACACATTTGACATGTCATAGTGCACCTGTTATATGACATTGTTGTACAGTAAAAGTTATTATTAAGAACAGTTATTCAATAATTGATTACAGTTATTCATCAGTCATTTAATAAGAAATACTTTAGTACTGTTATTCTATGCTGAATTAAGTACTACACACATTTCACTATCAAGCTCTGTTAATACCGGCATACGGTTATTCAAGACAGTACAGTTTCATATGCTACACGACCTGTGAAGATTCGGGTTGGAATTGATCTTCAGTAACCCATGCTTGTCGTAAGAGGTGACTAATGGGATCGGGTGGTCAGGCTCGCTGACTTGATTGACACGTCATCGGTTCCCAAATGCATGGATCGATGCTCATGATGTTGATCACTGGATTGTCTGGTCCAGACTCGATTATATACAGACTGCCACCATATATCTGGAATATTGCTGAGTGCGACGTAAAACTAAACTCACTCACCCATATGCTACACAAGATTGTTCACTAAGGGTATTTCTCAAGTACATCCAATCTACTGGCTGCAGCTGACAATGTTAATTCTTTGTTTCACAGAACGCAACTTGAACCCAAAAGCAGCTTGTCTTAAGAGACGCGAGGAGGAGAAATCAGACGATATGCCTGGTCGCATGAATGCAGACGATATCGCCCAGCAGGCAGCCCTGGCAGGTAAGGTATGGAGGCTTACCTAGCTTCTACTGCTTGTGGTGAACTGTAGTTTTCTCCTTATTAGTTATTTCCCCTTACCATGTGGAGCTATCGAGTTTCCAAGTAAAATGAAAATTTCGGTATTGTTTGACTGTAAGATGATTAGATTCTTACATCTCTTCATGTTGTTACAACAATGGTAATAAATTCATTACAGTTAGCTTTGGGTGAGGGCTCAACATCATCAGCGTATGTATTTGCTAGTTTAAAGATAAAGCTGATGGAAGGGGCTTTCTTTTATAGAAATGTCTTATTTTCAGTAATACATGTTAAATTTGGATTTGAAGAAGAGAAAGAAATCATTATTATGCATGTATTTATCTTGAATAGAAAAATAATAATTTGGAATATAAAATTTAAATTACTTGGAAACTTGACGCGAATGATAAACTGTAAGTTCAGTTTTGTATAAAGAAGGATTGTTGGGGTCGGAAGACTGTACATATTTGTTCCGTGTGTTTGCTCGTGTTTAAAGAGTTTGTTTTCATAAATTTGAGTTTTTCAAGATGAGAAAATGGTTGAAGTCTTTGAAAAGTGTTTAGAAGTTGAGAGAATTTGAATACATGACGCATGGATAACATCTTTATTCTGTATTTTGTTATCCATAAATAAATGTTATGTATTTGAGAAAATAACGGTTCTGTAATTTTCTACAATAATGACAAATTTTTATGGGTAACAATTAGTTTAGTGTCATACAGAATTTTTGTAGCATTGTCAAGCAGGAATGTAATGTTGTATCACAAATATGTACAGCGATGTCTGCATGCTTGGTGAAGGCAGGGCAAGGGTTCCCGTCAAATTCCTCCTTTCCAAAATTCATTTGCCAGATTTTCTCATTCACGTGCATGTTTGTCCAACTATGAGCACTTTCAAATTGAATCAACTCTTTCGTCAATATCGGCACCCGATCCAGATAGTTTTCGTAAAGCAGGTGTAATTGGATGGATGTCCAACTGACGTCCTTGACCTTCAGACCAACTGACCGCACTGGTAGATACTGCATGTGACACGAAGGGTTAACTCACAGCATGTGATACCGGGGGTTAAAGGTGAACTTGTCTCCATCGAATCAGCTGCATGACACAGGTTGTCTCCCCTGTTCTGCAGCTGGATCTGCCAATAATTGTGAGCTGACATTGACCTTATTCAAGGTCACAATATGGGCAGATCCCTTCATGAGTAATTTGTATTTCTCTGGAACCAGATTTGACCCTTTTGGGATTAGCTATGTATCAGGAACTGAACTCAGACTTATATCATTATTGCCAATTACAACTTATGGGGACCAGGCAGTGACCTATTTCAGAGCCATGAGCATGTCTACAAAATTTCAATTATTGGGAGTTTAATTACAATTTGTGGACAACATACTATTTTCCTAAACCTAGATTATGTTTTGTCTAACCCTTACTTGAACCGAAATCCCAACTCATTTAAGCTTTGTACTTAAGATGTCTATGTATGCAGGCAGACTTATATGGCTGAAATAATGCCAATGTGACGTAAAATTCAACTGGGCTTGAACCTCCATCCTAATACGTATATCTGACTCCTCACTGACATTACAACTGGTTGTCTGGAACGATTTTTGACCAGCGGAGATGAGTTCACCTTAAACTCATTAGCATGCGTTAAATGAGTTAATGTCTGAGCATGCGATACAAAATGTGTTGCATGTGATATGAGTGCTAGCCAATGACTGCTACTTCAAGAGAGGCAGCAGCCATGGGTAGCCGTATTACTGCTTCCCCTGCCACTATGTGTGACGTACGTTTTCCTTGCAGATTCACTACACAAAATGATGCATTCTTTATCCTCGTTAGCAGACAGTGAAGAGTTTCACAACCAGTAAGTCCACGTGTAGTCGTAGATGTAGACGTGTACTGACAATACTAGTCCTTCTTTAACCCCAAGCTTGTCTTTCCTCCATTGACGTTCCCTTTCCAGAATTAGAATCACTAACAACCCGTGTAATTATTTTACATTAATTTCTTTTACTCCATTGTCTCTGTTTTTCTTCTAACTGATAAAACGTCGACTTCAGATCTTTCAAATCTTGCTTTTTGTCTCCCTTTCTGTTTCTCTATGTATTGAAATTCTGCATGATTCGTCATCTTCGTTCCTTGTATTAGCCTGTGTTCGGACTCGCGTCCAGCAATCTGTTACGCAAATGTCAAATGAGCATAGCCCAAGGGACGACAAACCCACTTGACCGACTCTTTGCCGTTAGCCGGAGGTGATGTGTGCATCATTTTGGCGTTTGGCTTATGCAGGTACCCATTGTCAAGGTGCTAGATTGTTGACGTGTCTTGTGTACAGTGTTTGGCCGACTGCATTCATCCGATAAAAGCTCTGTAAATGTAATCACTGAACTGAGACATTTCGCACCCTTTGTACTTTTTTGTTTGCTTACAATTCTGTTTCATATTGGCTTTTTTACAGAAATTTAATTTAATAATTGTATCATGTTGAAAAGATTTATGGTTGTAATGCAACAGAAATTCACATGTACGAATCATTCTGGATATCTAAGCTAGCCTCGTCATTAAAGTAGCGAGGATTGTTAACTTTAATTGATAATTGTGGTAATGTCTTACAATTTTTATATGAGGTACAGAATTTAAGGCTTTGGTGAGGTAGCCTTGCGGGCTGTGCTTGCTCAGTATAGCTGTAAAATGTGTTTGATTCTTCAGTGGTGCCTGATCTGAAATCAATTTATTCATTTTTGAATTGTAATTTGTATGCTGTGTAATTGTGTTATGTTTTCAAATGATGTCCACTTTAGTTCAAGATGAAGCATTCAGTCAGGAATATGTTGTAAATTTTCAATTTTTGAACCTAAGCAAAAAGATTTTGGTTGGCAAAAACTACTTATAAAATTACATACTACTTATTATTGAAAATATGTATGTATAGATATTTTTGTTATTAAGCGGAAATTACATAAATAATGTGATAACTAAACTCGCATGTGATAAAGTAGGTATTTGTGTCAAAAACAATGTGTTATAAGTGGAAATGTGAAAACTGAATTGCTACAACGGAACACAGACATTGTTTGTTAATGAAAACATATCTGTGTTGCAGGTAGTGCTGCCTTGATGGGCCGCATGGGGGCAACAGCTAGTTCCAACCGGCTGTCACCAGGGGGCGTGCTGCCCACCACTACACATGGTGCCTATACTAACGTCTACCTTCAACCAGGCCACCCTTCGGACGGTCAGGAAAACCGACTTGATCTCGGTATGCCGCCAGTGTCAGATGCCGCGGTGAAGCTCGGGCAACAGGCCAACAGGAATACGCTAAGCTTGTCTGACTCGGTTGCCCATGCTGCCGGTGTCTCCGTCAGCTCTGCGGGGCATGTAGGAGCCAGTGGGGGCCAGATGGTATCCCCCCTCACGGACTCGAACGCAGACACCCTTGGGGGCAGATTTTCAGTTGATCAGGGTCCACCCTAGCAGACTTTGCCCCCGTTTTCTATCGAGAGAATGAACGGAATGTGTGTTATGTTTCAGGAATCCTGCCTACCTGTCTAATACATTAGCGTTAACGATTATTTGAAGAAGAAAAAGACAACTGTTCCAAACAAAAAAAAATAAACTCAGCCTAGCTGACCATTGTTAGACTTCCAGTGCCATCGCCATGACGATAGTGTTGCCATGACGATGACAGATTTGTTGTGTTATGTAATTCTCATTGAGTTTACCTGAGCCTGTGGCCGGAAGGAGGGCCAGGAGAGATGTCGATTTCAGAACGTGTACATTTGCCCTGATGGATTACCCAGAATTCATTGGCTGTACCAGGATCAACGTAATGGAGAAGTCAAGCTTTGTATGAGAATCAAGCATGCATAGTGTCCAAAGTTCAAAAATCCTTCTTCCGATACTTCTGTTGGTATTTGAACGATAGCATTGGTTGGACTTCGTCAACACAGAAGGAACAAGATGGTCACTGTTTGCAATATTCTGAGCTGCTACGTCATGATTCAGGCCAGTTCTGATGTAATGGAAAATTGGGACACTGTGAGACTGTAACTGATCTCCTGATTGATATTTGAATCAGTCGAAATACCAGACTTTGAGAATCAGCATCGGTCATATCAAGGCGGCCATGTTGGATTTCTCAGCCAGTGACATTTAAGCAATGCAGGAATTGTGCAGCCTGATTGGTTGATCTGAACAGCTTTGTAGAGTAGTAGTGTGTGAAGTGACAGACTACACTGGGGATTGTTTATGCATTAGATGATTGAGTCTTTCACTTGTCAGTAGGATGGGAGTTATCTCCCCTTCTTCTTTGCCAACTGTTGGTTATCTCCCTTTATAAGTTTTAAGCAAAAATGTTTAACCTTTGTTAGCAATGGTTTTTATGGAAGTATGGGGTAACAAAATGTTGAAATTTGTTTGAATTTTTAAAGTTGTATTTACAATCTGTTTTAACCTGTTATTTACAACTATTTTATCCGGCAAAGATATTTTGCCAGGGGATTGATTCATTCAGAGCGAAGGGTCAACAAGTGAAAGTCTCAATCCAAACATTAGCCCATAATCATATTGTATATTATATCACTGTTATCATCGACATGCATCAATCACCATAGCAACAAGACATCTTATGTCATACATTAATGCATAATTCTCCATAATGGAACAAGCTAGAGGCTGATTGGTTGCCAACGGGGATGTGTCGTATCAAATATTGTGACAGCCAGCTAAGAACAAGATATAGTTAATAGTCCTTGTTCTTGTTGAGGCTGCCGGAGCTGACAGTGGTTTGTTCATGGTGGCATGGTGCGCCCCTCCGGCGGGGATAGTCTAACTATGATTTTGTTTGTGTTCATGTAGATGTATTTAAGTGATATTCTACTTTTTTGAGCACTATTTTACACAAAGTTGGTGCATTTTATCACCACGACTGGGGTTTTGTATAGTAGAATATATGCTGCCATAATATCAGCTGGTCACTCCTTTGTTACTGAAACAGGTCATTATGATGCTTATAGAAGTGTCTAGCCAGGATATAACTGCAATATCGCTTAAGACGGGATTAAACTGACCTCACCTGATAAGTTCCAAAATATTGTTCCTCAAGTTCGTTATAAGGAAATATTGCATGAACAAATTGTGAGTCTGTAAAATGTTGAATATTGGTGTTCTGGTTTGCTTTGCATGTAAAGTTTGCTAAGTTTATCGCTAACCATAAATATTGAGTTCAGACATCTTTGGTTATCATTAGAGATGAATTTTCAGGACATTGTGTTCCCTGACTTTCAAGACCTGTTCTGAGGAAATGGCAAATTTAAGTAATTTGAAGCGATCAGATGTGGCAGCTAGCAAGGCCTTATGACAATTGTCCAAATGACCTGGGATTGGGTTTTTGGCAAGTTCTGTTCATTATAGAGGAGTGTCCAGTTGCTAGTAGTGTTAGGTACAATATAGGTACATGTTCGTATTGGAGGGTGTTGGATCGTAATGATACGACCTCGCACAGTAGGTCCAGTGCCTCGATGTTTCCTGCATTTAATATAAATGCAAATTTTAAATATATATTTGCATATATTTATTGCTTATCTTCTCTTCCAAGTTTACAGATGTTACTGTCTATTTTTGAAACAAAAAGTCAATAGATATTAAGCCAAATTTGTGTCATAGGTCACTGAATGTTTCACCCTGAACAAGTAAAATATCGTTTTCTTAAATAATATCGAGGCCAATTAGATAAATAAAGTGTAATTTATTTTTATCTTTAATCATAACATTTAATATGTTCAATTCATTTTAATTTCTAACCCTAACAGTTATTGATCAAAATTCTAAAAAAAATACTTTAGCCATGTAAACTAATCAAAAATGTAATCTAATTAAAGTATGAAATACACAATGCCATTTTAGAAAGTGGTCAAATGTAACATGTTATATTTGGGATTACACTTTCTCAGTAAAGTACAGATTCTAGTACCTTTTTTGGGTGGAGTCCCATCCGGGATTCGAACCCACACCCTCTACAGGAGGTCTCATTACATATGAATTATTACCGAAAGTCACTAGAATCTGTACTTTACTGAGAAAGTGTAATCCCAAATATAACATATGTTACTAATTAAAGTATTGTTTATTTGATTAGAACCATTGGTGCAGTAATTTAATGTTGTAGTGTTATTAAACTTTAAACAAAATTGAAGTCCTTGGCAGTTAAGAATGAAGTTATAAAGAAAGTCAAAGTGATGTATAATGTTCAAGTTTGCTTGTTTGTAAAAAGCAGGATGAATTTTTCTGAGTTTGACTCCATGAACTCAATTAGCTTCCCTTTCTGCCACAATTAGCTCCAGGTTTCTGTAGATATATAATACATATTTGTTATATAATACACCATTGTGCATTTTCACTGTCTACCCTAACAAGTTGAAATGAACTCTTCTGGTGTTTGATTTAGACTCTACCAAAGGTCAGTAGAGGGGTGACAGGTCAGTCCATACTTAAAACATGACCTATCTATCAGGGGCTGGAAGACTGGAGTTGTAATTTGAAAACAATAAAATGAAATGCTTTTGATTATGATTGTGTGTCTCTGTAGATTTAATGTAGTAAGGAGGGTGGCGTTGCTGCAGCCTCCCCACAATCTGCTTATGGAATGGAGTTCCTATGTATGGTCTGCGATACTAGATCACTGGATTATCTTGTCCAGATTTGATTATTTACAGGCCGCTGCCATATAGCTGGAATATTGAGGAGTGCAGTGTAAGGGACAAAGTGAGTGAGTGAATCGGAAAAGACCAAACAAGTGGTTGCTGTTGGGCTAAATCACATGGACATGTGATTTAGCCTATTCTTGACAATTGAGCCATTGACATTGCTTGTGTGGTCTTGCTGCTTTTAGCAATGGCCCTGCAATGATGGGCTTCACACGTTACTCAGGGAATTGAACCTAGGTCTTTGGTGTGATGAGCGAAGCTTTCATGATTAGGCTATGCATCGCCCATTGTTTTTGACAGTGCATTGGACCTTGGCACTTATGGTGACGCTTTGTATCTGTGTGGGGAATCGAACCGGTCTTCGGTGCGACAGTGAACACTTAAACCTGTCGGCTACCTCAACGCCTAATTCACCAGAACAGCACGAGTCCCTGATCACAGGAGAGTCAGCCTGGTTCAAGACATTGGGACCTGTCTGTCAATATATCCCCACTCTCTTCATCAAAGTTCCAATATGGTTCAAGTAACGCATGTTGCACAAATTCTTATTTGTTTTTCTCAATAATTTGTAACTCTGTGAACGATCCTTTAAAATAACTGAAGAATCGAAATATTTCTAGACGAATCTTGCAGCGATATTGGGACTCGAACCCGGGCTTTTTTGGCAACCTTGTCACCTTGTCACATCTCGACGTTGTTCAAAACAGTGTATGAATGGGTGAATAAGGTTTTATACAGCTTTTAGCAATATTCCAGCAAAAATGAAGCCACAGGATTTCAGGGTAGCCTAGTGTTGAAAGTGTTCGCTCGTCACGCCGAAGACCCCGAGTTCGATTCCCCACATGGGTGCAATGTTTGGTGTTCCCCGCCGTGATATTGGTGAAGATATTGCTAAAGGGGTGTAAAACTGAACTCACTACTGGAGAATCGAACCCGGATCCTCGATATGACACGCGAACGCTTTAAGCACAAGGCTACGCCACTGTCCATGGTTTGTCTGGTCCAGACTAGATTATTACAGAACGCCGCCATATGGCTGGTATATTGCCGAGTGCTGCCTTAAACTAAACTCACCTAAGCAGTTTATACAATGAGTGACATTGACTTCACGTCTGAAATTATTCAACAACACCAAGCGTTTGCTTGTGGCTGTAAAGCAAAGACCTGACACCGGGTGTTCAGTGGGTTTACTATGAGTTGGCATCACTGAATCGGATTGCCGAGTCCAAAATATGGGTTTCTTTCTCACTGCAGACCCGGGCGGTGGGGTAGCCTAGTGGTTAAAGCGTTCGCTCGTCACGCTGAAGACACGCCTTCGAATCCCCACATAGGTACAATGTGTGAAGCCCATTTCTTGTGTCCTTCGCCGTGATATTACTGGAATATTGCTAAAAGCGGCGTAAAACCATACTCGCTCTTGGGTTACAGTATCAAAGTGTAATCTTACAACCTATGGGCAGAAATCCTTCAGTCTCGCAGCTCCTCCACGATGGAACAAACCTCCTCTGGACATCCTAATCTTTACGGGTCTACCTACAATATTTCAAAAATTCGAACTGACGACTGAGAAAGCATGAGTGAGTGAGCGAGTTTAGTTTTACGCCGCACTCAGCAATTTTCCAGCTATATGGCGGCAGTCTGTATATAATCGAATCTGGACCAGGCAATCCAGTGATCAACATGATCATCAATCTGCGCAATTGGGAACCGATGACATGTGACAACCTAGCCAGCGAGCCTGACCACCCGATCCCGTTAGTCGCCTCCTTCAAGCAAGGGTTACTGAAGGTTCATTCTAACCCGGACCTGGAGAAAGCACGAAAAGCCGTTTTCACATATTTTACGAAATTACCGATATCTTCAGTTGTTTTAAATATATCTGTGTTCCATTTAACGGTATCAATATTTTTAAGATATTGTTAAATAGTCTAAATAATCTTTAATAAATGATATACAATTTTTTTTACCGATATCGTAAATTGTTCCGGAGATATCAAACTATTTCGTGATATTTCTAAATATGTTTACGCTATGAAAAAGCAATCATATTGTATATAATTATATTAGAAATTCATTCAAGATATCTTCAATTCAAAATAAAGCCCATTTCTGGTGTTCCCCGCCGTCATGTTGCTGGAATATTGCTAAAAGCGGCGTAAAACCAAACTCAGTCAGTCAGTCAATTAAAAAAAATATTAAGACAATTTAAGATATCAGTGATTTCTTAATAAATGTAATAACGGCTTGCCATAAGAAAGGACTGCAGATATGACTTACAGATGTTGTAATTCAACCTACAAATCAGCTATCTGAATCAGGTGGTTGGCGTTACTTGAAACCTCACCAATATATTACGTTACAACAACTGCGGACTGCTATTTCTATCTAAATTTCGCTTTATTTCCTTGAGGTGTCGTGTCAATGGCAGCATATATGCAGCTGCGTCCAGCCATCTCGGTGCTCTTCAGCGCAAGGGAAAGATACGTAATGAAAGACATTACATACATATACACACATGCATATGTATACTGCCGATCAAATGTTTAGACTCACTAGTATAAATGTAGCCACTTAATTCAGTCAACAGTTCTAAACTTTATTTTGCAAAATATTCCATACTGTTTAAAGGTACTGTTTACAAATGAACTGATGTATTGTAAAACAAATTCGTAACGTTGAAAAGATTATTGTCACGAGTTCAATACATGATTGAACTCATTGAAAATTGGCGAAAATTTTACACCAAAACGCAGCTGTTACACATGCACGATATCTGCACGTGCTTTTCAGCAATTTGAAGCATGATCCACGTGGAATTGATCTGATGCAGTTGGTCCACCCATGTCAGTGGAGAAATTGATCTTCGATGTTACTATTATTTATGTATTTCTTATACATATTTATATATCCATACACACACAGAGTGCTTGAAGTGAGTCAACGTGTGTGTGTGTTTGTTTGTTTTTAGTTTTACGCCGCTTATAGCAATATCCCAGCAATATCACGGCGGGGGACACCAGAAATGGGATTCACACAATGTGCCCATGTGGGGGAATCGAACCCGAGTCTTCGGCGTGATAAGTCAAAGCTTTAACCACTAGGCTACTCCACTTCCCCGGCATTTTAGAAGTTGGTGAGTATCTTGAATGGCAATACTATGGATGGCTACATAATATAATATAGAAGCTTTCATCCATAAAGTGTCCGACATTCTTGTTATCTGAATACATTTTACACATACATGTAACAAAAAGAATATAGTAGGGTATCGGTTGTTTTAAACTTCAGCATTAAAGTCCTTAAAACAATATAGCTTTGCACAGCAAACTGTTCATTGAGTTTTTGACTGTCAACACTCTCGACCTTGCGCGCCATCCCCGGGTCTTGTTTCCTGATAAACCAAGTCGGCCATGGAACTTCAGTCTGTCTCACAGTCCCGAACCAGACAGACAGATAGTTTATTAAAGTCTCACCTCACAAGTGCATAGTAACAATACACAATACAAATACAATAAAACAGTGAGCCACCCTTTCTGGGTTACGAGAGACTATTAGCTAAGAACATATACACACAATATGAAAACTAAATACACATAGAAGTTATTATTAAATAACGAAGAACAATAAAAAATACATCAGTACGATATCAAGTATACGTATACATACACAATATAAAACCATTACCTATTACCATATAAAATTTGTTTCCGCTTATGAAGTAAAATCTTGCAGGTTTTGGCAGATATAAAAAACAATATTCGGATTGGCTAAGATGAAATTAACTTTCTGTATATCTGTAAAATCATTAAAAGTATCATTGTTATTTAAACATTTACTTAGGAGGGTAAAACGTAATTATAAGGGGTCTGTGTAGTAAAAAATGGATTTCATCCTCAACTTCATCAATACAAAAAACATAACCACATTATTTTCCCTTCCTCCAAGCCATCCCCTGCAAATAAATAAAACAAGTCTAGATTCCCCAGGTTCTGAATCTCCCAACTCACTGGTGCTCCTTTTCAATTTACATGGGTTTATTTGTTACTATCAAAATTATATATATTCAAGGGCAAAGCGTTAGTCTAATGGAACTTCAGTAAATGGATTTATTTAGAAACCATTGGCCGCTTAACTTTTAATAATTCATTTTTTAAAACATTCCACCTCTGTGGCGGCGGTCAGTAAATAATAATCTGGACTAGGGACTAGACAATCTTGTGATTGATATCGTGGAGAATGCTGGAACGCGATGGCTTACGGTGCTTGAACCACGTTATTTTCCCTTCTTCGCTACCTTTCTGCAGTGCTAAAGCTAAATGCATACAGGATAGATTTCCTCACGTTGAGGATACTGAATCTCCCAACTCACTCCCGATCCCCCAATTCAAATGGAGCTACTTGTTTTTATCAAAATTATATATCTTCAGGGACTAAGGGTTTTCGTCTGTTTGGGTCAAAATGATATCGATGAATCACAATCAAACTCCAAATCGGTTCATGAACAAACATTCATTTCAACGCAGAATGTAATGAAAACATCAGACCAACCCTGCAGACTTTTCCGTTACTTTACCCTCACGGAAAATCAAAACAAAATGATGATAGCTTATAAAATAACTTTGTTATTTTGGAGACAAACGTTATGAAACTTTTTTTCCTGAATTTGTCCGATGTTTTCATTACATTCCGAGTTGAAATGAATGTTTGATCATGAACTGATTTGGAGTTAGATTGTGATTCATCGGTATCACTGCTGCCTTTCTCTAAAACCCATAGGAACTATTACTTCCCCAATATTGTCACCGCGCCACTGCATGAACATCTCTACGGTGGATATTAGGCGCTTTATAAACAGATAATTACTATTATCATCATCTTTTTGTCCCGAACAGACTATAGTTTGTTTGCAGTGAAAACGTACCGATGAATTTCACTTTAAACAAAAACGTAAATCAAATAAAGTGAAATTAGAAGTACGAATCCTCATGATTATACCTTATCATAGTTTCAAATCGCTATTATTAGTTTGTATCACAAGGGGGTATGCACATTAAATGAAACACCGAGAACAAGTAGGGTTGGTCTAAGTTATCGCTCATCACGTACCGCACGTGCGTTTGTATCACTGTTCCAATTGCTAAGTTTACTCCCTTGTAATACAAACCAATAATAGCGATTTGAAACTATGATCGTCTGTTAACAACTTTTATCCTAAGTTGAATAAAATTCTGAAATTTAAATGTTTAATTGGCAAGGTAAAATTATGAGGATTCGCAATCTTAATTTCACTTTATTTGATTTACTTTTTGTTTAAAGTGAAATTCATCGGTACGTTTTCACTGCAAACAGACTACAGTCAGCGCGATGACATGCATCGGCCCGGCCACTGAGCCTTGTCCGTCTTACGACTCTTACCACACCCGGAATCCCTCTATACGACACACCCGAGAAGATCCGGGTTAGAATCTTCAGCAACACGTGCTTGTCTAAAGACGCGACTATAAAGGGATCGGGTGGACAGACTCGCTGACTATCGAGATCGATGCTCATGATGTTGATCACTGCATTGTCTGGTCCAGACTTGATTATTTACAGACCGCCGCCATATAGATATATCTGGAATACTTGCTGAGCGCGGCGTTCCAACAAATCAACCAACTCTATTCGATACAGGACGGGACTCGTACATGGTGACGGCTGCATTGGTTGTCTTGGCGTTCGCTCAAGAGCTCTTAATTTCGTAATGGTAGAGCGGTGATTAAACTTTGTATGCTTATCTGGTGGGTGATTACAACAACAAAAAATATCATAGCAAACTATCAAGATATAATTTCACCTGCCGGAAGTAGCGCCTCTTGGTGTATGGGTCGTCTTCAAACAGAACTTCCAACCCTAAGAGAAAAAAACCTTGAGTGAAAAAAAGCTTCAGAAATCCTGAACCCACCCTACATGACGCCAACGCCATAACTGCAAATTCTCTTTTCAGAAAAGTCCCTAAAAACGATGTACTCAGTCTCATTTGTGTGTTTTTTAATTTTTTAATTTATACTTTCATATGCACCCAATTTAGCGTGAGAGTTATCAGTTGCTTCGAGACCGTGACACGAGTCATGAAAGCGTGAGTCTCAAGCCAAATGCGCGAGAGTCGGAAGGTACGAGTGGGTGAGTTTAGTTTTACGCCGCACTCAGCAATATTCCAACTATATGGCGGCGGTCTGTAAATATTCGAGTCTAGGCCAGACAATCCAGTGATCAACATGTACAGCATCAGCATGAATCTACTCAATTGGGAACCGATGACATGTATCAAGCAAGTCAGCGAGCCTGACCACCCAATCGCGCGGCATGTACGAGTCTTTGTCGACTAAATTTTCTTAGTATACTGCACTTACAGACAGAACGACATGCATGGGTTTGGAAGGCTGTATTTAATCAACTAACGCCGTATTTAGTAGTAGCACACAGCGATATCATGCCGTAACACCAGGTTAAGTTATGTCCATTGTTCTTGGAAGTGCTTTATTAGCATTACTGAATAACTGCCCTAGGGCAATTATTTCTATTTATAAACAATAAAATTGTACTCATTTTGATAATCTTCATGCCTAATACATTACACGCGTATTAAATAAGTATGCCCTCGTGGTGTAAGCCGTTTAATCACCCTCACTACGGTAGTTATATTTAAATATGCGAGGGCTTTAGTCCGAACTACCTTGTAAGGGTGATTAACATATACGTATATACTGCACTCGGACAGTATACCGACTGATATATAGCCAACCAGTCTTTGTTAGGAAAGTAGTATCCTCCTTTTCTCGTATTTTGGTATGACGCAGTACTAGTTAAACCTGCCAACTTCCACTGTCCATCTATCAGTGTGCGGTCTGTTCTGATATAACGCATGAACAAGGAATTTGTAGCCCGTTTCGATGCGAAACTTTTCAAAATGGCAGACCAATTCCTGATTTTGTTTACTTGATAGGGAACACTCCGTATCTCATGTCTCAGTATGTTTTGCATGGTTGCTTAACGCTAACTCAGCAATACTCCAGCGACATAACTGTCCTGTAAAACTGGACTAGACAATCCAGTGTTTGATGTTGTGAGAAACGATTCAGGTGATCGGATGAGAGTGAGTGAGTGAGTGAGTAAGTTTAGTTTTACGCCGCACTCAGCAATATTCCAGCTATATGGCGGCGGTCTGTAAATAATCGAATCTGGACCAGACAATCCAGTGATCAACAGCATGAGTATCGATCTGCGCAACTGGGAACCGATGACATGTGTCATGATCGGATGAGATGATACGATTTCAACCAAGTTACCGAGTCTTACCACTCGACCTGTATGGATGCTTCTCTGAATCAGCCCAGGTTGCTATGGACTAACAGTGAGTGAGTGAGTTTAGTTTTACGCCGCACTCAGCAATATTCCAGCTATATGGCGGCGGTCTGTAAATAATTGAGTCTGGGTCAGACAATCCAGTGATCAACAGCATGAGCATCGATCTATGCAGTTGGGAACCGATGATATGACATGTGTCAACCAAGCCAACGAGCTTGACCACCCGATCCCGTTATTCTCCTCGTACAAGCATGGGTTAGTGAAGACTCATTCTAACCCGGACCTTCACGGGTATATGGACTAACATTTAACAATAGTACTAATGATGAGTATTTCTATAGCGCTGTATCCATCCACAAGGTACATGCTCAAAAGCAATAAAATGTGAGGTAAACGTAATGAAATAATGGTATGAAATGAAACCTATGAATAATAGCAGGGGATAATGTCTACGAATTTAAGTCTATGAATAATAGGGTGAAATAACGTCTGTGAATAATAGCCTGAAAATATGTGCGTCTTGAGTTTTTATTTGAATACAGTTAATTATGATGAAAGCTTGATGTCCAGAGGAGGTTTGTTCCATCGTGGAGGAGCTGCGTGACTATATAGGGTTTCTGCCCGTAGGTTGTAAGTTACACTTTGGTACTTTAACCCAAGAGCGAGTATGGTTTATGCCGCTTTCAGCATTATTCCAGCAATATCACGGCGGGGGGACACCAGAAACGAGCTTCACACGTTCTGTCCATGTGGGGAATAGAACCCGGGTCTTCAGCATGACGAGCGAACGCTTTAACCACTACCCCACCGCCCCATTTCCTAAGAGTGAGTGAGTTTAGTTTTACGCCGCACTCAGCAGTAAATAACAGTCTGGACCAGACAATCCAGTGATCAACAGCATGAGCATCGATCTGCGCAATTGGGAACCGATGACATGTGGCAACCTAGTCAGCGACGCTGACCACCCGATCCCGTTAGTCGCATCTTACGACAAGCATGGGTTACTGAAGGTACATTCTAACCCGGACCTCTATGGATCACATTTCCCAAGACTGACTGACTTTGTTTTTTACGCCGCTTTTAGCAATATTCCAGCAACATCACGGCGGGGGACACCAGAAATGGGCTTCACACATTGTACCTATGTGGGGATTCGAACCCGGGTCTTCGGCGTGACGAGCCAACGCTTTTACCCCACCGCCCCACACATTTCCCAGGAATTAGCCATGGTTGAAGATACACCTTCGGCATTAATCACCACAGTGCCTAATCGTTGTGTAACGAACTGGACACCTATGACCTTAAACATAAGTCGCCTTTATACTTCGGCATACACAACTTTCCTGATAACAATGATAACGGCATCAGATAACACAAACAAAAAAATTCATATGATAAAATCTCTTACAAATTAATATCAAAGCCGAAATATCTTGTTCTAACCGAACGAAAAGAGCAGCAATATCAAATTGGTAATTAATAGAAAATAATAGTATGATATTTATAGAATGAAACAAAAGACACCATGAAATAGTCTTCACATCTTTGAGCACGTTAACCACGGAAGAATCATTATGATCTAACCCGAGACACGCGCCTAGTGTTCCTGCTGTAGACAAAGGGGCTCGTCCTGTTACAAGACATTGAATAACAGTCGATATACCCCAGGACTGGTGAAGATATTATAGCGCAAGTTAAATACCGAAAATGGCGAAAGAAGCGCAGGTGGTCTCTCGGTTGAATTTAATACACTTATAGGTTTGAGATCAATTACTAATATTTATTTTTGTGATGTAAGAGTAGCCATATTAGTCAAACGTGCAACTCTGTTAGTTTGAGACGTATAGACTGCGTTTGGTATGGTAAATGTTACACCAGGAATAACAAGTGTACGACATACTTTTTATCCCAGATATGTAATACATGTATATATGCAATATTTTATAATCCTTTTTTTTTGTTAGCATACAGACATGTGTTACACATGCGATACATAAGTACATATCTAAAGGGGGTGTTACACTACTTCTATGTGAATCCAAATAAATCCATTTTTATAATAAGTTGATATGCATGTGTGTATTAACATCAGCAGCTTGTCACTGTTCGTGTGAAATTTTTGGTATTGCATGTTTATACTGTACCTACTCTGTGTGTATGTGTGACAGCTGTATCTTGGCAACAAAAACAAACTAAATCCTTTATGTCTTTTTCTCAAACCGGGCAAAGCGTTCCCTGGCTCCTTGTCCCGCCTGTAACAGGGATTCAGCAATAAAATATATATCAAATACCCCAAAAAATATAATACGGATATCACTGGGAAAATTGTACTTTTGCCATAAAATGTCAATTACTCTTTGTGACAGTTTGAGACAAGCTGTGAGACATGTTTGAATCGCACTCCCCCCATTCCTGAGAGGGAGTTACCTGTGAGAAAGAGACTGTTTCCGTATGTTGAAGATTATATATTATAGTCCGATTGGCTCAAAAGCGGACCGCTGATTGCAATCTACTTTAAAAACTACTAAACATATAATACTAGATAAAACACTGAGCCACACGGACTATAAGTATAATGATACAACCTACTGTTTATTCCCACCCCGACCCCGCCGCCACCCCTATACAACTTATAACCCCACCCCCACCCCTACAACCTATAACCCCACCCCGACCCCGCCGCAAACCCTACAACCTATAACCCCGACCCTACCCGATACCAAACCCAAACAGATAATGATCGTTTCATCATATGCCGTTCTTACAGTAATCAAATTGTAAGAAGTATTTTCAATGGCTGCAGTAACTCAAGAATTGGGAATACACTGCCTGAGCACCGCCCTCATGTGGTACCAAATGTCTGGCAGCCATATGTTTCCATAAGCACTCGCATCAGGAGACCTTAATTTATGTGTGGAATGTTATGCAAATTACATCACATGCAAGTACATCACATGCAGATGCACAGATTTATTAGAAGCAGTTCCTGCTATAGATGACAACTTTTGCAATAGGTCGTGACGCCAGGTTTTCAGAATTATCTGCGTAAATTACTCAAATATACATGTGAAAAGTCCGTTCCTTTTATTGCATACAAGTACGCTTGAATTTTGGTAAATACTCAATAAATCTGATCTTACATGCATACACACAAAATGTCAAATCTTAGCTCGGTACCGGTGAATTAGTTCCGGTCACCAATCCTACTAGACTGACTGACTGACTGACTTTGGTTTTACGCCGCTTTTGGCAATATTCCAGCAACATCACGGCGGGGGACACCAGAAATGGGCTTCACTCATTGTACCCATGTGGGGATTCGAACCCGGGTCTTCGGCGTGACGAGCCAACTCTTTAACCACTAGGCTACCCCACCGCCCCAATCCAACTAGAAGTTGGAGTAAGCTGACCCATGTGCTACAGATGGAGGTTACTGAGGATAGACAACATAACTTCTGGTATATTGAGATTCTATTTCAGGACATGGTCGTTGGCAACTTGGTCTTTCTTATGGTTTCTCATATAAATAACACGTAAACCAACATTTAGACTTTATATTTTAACAATCACTGGAAAATGGCAAAATACCCGATTTTGTTTGAGTGGTGTGTACAATTTATTTTGTTACTCAAAGGAAAATGAGGATACCCAATTAAGATGAACACAAGCGAGTACATAACTATGATCAAAAAGGTTATCTGTAGCTCTGTCAGTTCATCCAATTTAATTTTTTTGGCAGCATTATACTCCATTGTCTGTTACAGTGAGTGATTCGAGTTTTACGCTGCACTCAGCAATATTCCAGCTATATGGCGGCGGTCTGTAAATAATCGAGCCTGGACCAGACAATCCAGTGATCAACAGCAGGAGCATCGATCTACACAATTGGGATACGATGACATGTGTCAATCAAGTCAGCGAGCCTGACCACCCGATCCCGTTAGTCGCCTCTTACGACAAGCATGGGTTACTGAGAATCAATATTCTAACCCGGACCTTCACGGGTACATTATGGGTTAGAGATAGCAATTCTTATGTCTTCACGTGTGTGGGTAGGAAGGTATGTGGGTGTTTTTTTGTGTAGCAGGATCCGCATAATTCAAGAACTGAGCAAAACGTTTAGAAAATTGTATGAAAGCTATCAGAATGGTTCCTGTGAATGACGGCTATATTTGCAACTATTACAACAACTGGGCAAAGAGATAGGGCAAGGGACAGTTCATAATTTATGACTGGGGTGTGTGTGTGATGATTTTTTTATGGAGAAGCATGTATAACGTGAATGATCCCTTCCCCCCTTTAAAATCATCCACCCCCATCCCCTTAAAATGATCACCCCCCTAGCCATAAATAGAGAACGGTCCCCCAACATTTGTAAAAATGTCTAATTTAAGAGATTTTATGCATATAACTAAACCTGAAAGACCCAATAAAAAAAATTCTGCAATTTTGAAACTTAAGATTATTATGGGGCCATTATCCCCTTCGACCTTTCAACGGGTATAGGTCGTTATTTATATTCAACTTGTTTATTTATATTGACCATCAGTACCAGACGTGTATTTTCATGGTTAAATGTCAGACTGTTCCCACAGTCATGTTTAAATTATGGACACCATTTCATTCATATCATGCCCTGTCACCTGTAAGAAAAACCAGAAACTCTTGAAAAGAAAAAACTTGGACACTGCCGACAGTTTCAAGGTATGAACAGTTAATGTTTGTTTATATATATATTTTTGTTGCACGTTTAAGGAAATACACGATCAATAATGTTAAATAAAGCTTTACCTGTGACTTCACTACTTAATTAAGTTTGAATGATTATGTAGCTAAGAATTTACTCGTAAACTTTAATTAAATAGACCACTGCATTTTCTCTTTTGGTTATTGGACATTTTGGGCCCCAAAATAAGTCGAGTTAAATATATATATATTTTTTCAACATTTGTTCGGGATTTTGTCTCGCTGTAATTCACTGAGTTTGTAAGTTAAATTCCAAAGCGTTTTAATTTTATTCTGATCCTGGACGGGATCGTGAATATTTTTGGGGATTCAGTTAGAGGTAAGTCTCAACCAATAATTTCATGAAAACGTCAAAAACAAACAAAACCACAACAAACATAAAACATTTTTTCAGCATGTTTTAATGCATTCAATATATTTATTTTGTATAATTACACGTAATTAGTCCCAAACATTATTTCTGTTCCTAGTAATTATACAACATACCGCCTTTTATCGTCATTTATCATTTGTTTTGATGAAGCATTCATACTTATTTCTGTTCGGAGTAATTATAAAACACGTATAAAATATATACGTGGCCTTCAGTCATCACATAGCAATCACAAATAATATCACATTTCTTGTGTTTTTAGACGCCACGGTAGATAAAACATTACGAGCACATCCATCTAAGAAAGTTCAAAGAGATAAGAAACCCGTGGGTGTACATCGCGCGCTAACTAGACAGTGGAGGGAATGTAAGGTTTACAGATTCTCTCCCCTACCCAAAACCAAACAAATCCTTCAAACGACAACATATATCTCAGATTTGTATAATCTCAGCTCCAGCCCTATGATAGAATGACAGCTGTGGAAAACCATTAATCAAAAAGTTTAATAAAAATAATTCGCGGTGAAGTATTTTGCAAATAAAGCCAGCTATAACTACCCAAACAGACTTCTCGTGTAAAGCCTATTGGCAACATCTGGAGATAGAGCAATGGACAGAATCAAATTATGATAATTCGTAGAATATGTATTTGGCAAATCAATAGAGAGAAAAATACAGTGATCGGCTATAGCAACAGTTGTCACGGTTAGAACTCAACCCATCATTTGATGGGTCTATCAGGATTGACATGAATGGAGGTGAGGTGAAATTAAGTTTAACGTCGTGCTGGAGACTATTTCGCTCATATGACGAGGTGCATGCGTGTGTATGTGTATGTGCGGCTGCTTGTACTAGCCCAGACTTAAGCTGGTTTTATAGTGCTAGCCCACTGAGATACCATGCCGCAGTGAAGCATGAATACCCCACTCAGACACATTATACTGACTAAGCCGACCAGTCCTTGTTGTACCCATTAATGACGAGCACCATGCAGGGACCAACAAGTACCATATTTTAACGTCTTTTGGTATGACGCGGTCGGGTATCAAACCCGCGACCTTCCGCTCTCCGGGCGGACGCTCTAACCACTACACCACTGATGCGGTCGACATGAATGGAACTAAAGTACTGTCGGAAATAGAAATAAAAAAACTGTTATTTCACATTTATATCTACAATTTAGGTAGTTAATATGTGAAAGTGTGAAATATTTGTTAAACTAAGTTCGGCCTAACTATAGTCTCAGTGGTAGGGAGATAGGAAACGTAAAGATTGGACTTTACTCAGGAGAGATCAGTGCAGAAATGAGCAATGCGTTATTTTTCTAAGTCCAAATCGACTTATTTGGAACAGGCCATGGCTTTATGCAAATTAGAGGGCGATGATATTGTATTACAAATACACTTTTTAAATACCCATTTTGAAATTAGACTTAGCTTCATTATAAACAATAGCTGACGTTAAAAATAATAATTTTAATTGTGAAACTATATAAGGATGTATCTACCATGGAGTGTCACTATCACTATATATATAAAATGAAACAGGTAGGAGGGATCGTCTCAAAAGCAAAACAAGGACGGGTGTCGGAGACGGTGGTTTGGGGTCAGGCTAGGGTATAGAGATATCAGCTAAGATAAGATGATCCTTCAGGGGAATTAAACTGGGGAAGTAAACGGCATGCCATAACAATTTACAAATAATATCCAGTCCTGTCGATCTTCGGGTGGTCATGCCATCTATATATTTTGAGACATTTAACACGATGACTGATTATGCTTTTCTACGGGTATCATACTCTTTTACATATCTGAACATAAACTCTATGAAAGAAATACACGTAAGATGTTAATCAATAGATGTGACATATTCAACACACAACAAAAGGCATCAAATATCTTTGAAATGACCCCTTGTGCCTGTAGGCAGCACGTGCATTTCATGCCAGGTGAGTCGATGGTCCGTCATACCTGGCTGAGCAACCTAATTGCCATCTATAGTCTGATTCGGTTTTTTTAAGTTTTGCCCGATTTTACGAGTAAGCATGCTTTTCTGGATATCCTATTACGCATCCCACTGAACGCTCAATTAGGCCGAAGTGGGTTATTTCGACATATGCATTTGCAATTGTGTAAATTTTAGGGATACAGTAACAGCCTAACAACAGTTATTTTTCTATTTCCAACAGTACTTTAATGGTTGGGTTAAAAAAAATTAACGCCGCACTCCAGTTATATTCCAGCGGTCTGTAAACAAGCGAGTCTGGACCAGGCAATCCAGTGATTGACATGAGCATAGATCAATGCATATGGGATACGACTGACTGAGTATGGTTTTACGCCGCTTTTAGCAATATTCCAGCAATATCACGACAGGGACACCAGAAATGGGCTTCACACATTGTACCCATGTGGGGAATCGAACCCGGGTCTTTGGCGTGACGAGGCAACGCTTTAACTTCTAGGCTACCCAACCGCCCACCAAGTTGGTCAGCGAGTCTGACCACACGATCCTGTTAGTCGTCTCTTACCACAAGCATGGGTTGCTGAAGTTCAACTCTAATGCCGATATTCAAGGGGCCCTGAAATAAAATAAACGTGAATATCATTATTAATTAAAAGGGAAGATTTTCGGAAGTAACAACCTGTTCTTTTTCTATCATTCTATGCCTTAGAATAGATGGGGTTTTTTAACAGAAAACCTACCCTAAAACTAACAATGCTAAGTCTAAACCCTAAACCTAAACGCTAATCCCTCGAAATAATCGTAATAGAATACATTTCATTTTCATTACCAATTAAAAAATGCAATTAATTCATATGCAAATTGGGTTAAGAAGATGGAAATCGTCTGATGATATCTTGATCAAAAATATATTTTGTTACATAATTACACCGCATATTTCATATTTTCGATAAACTTTCAGAAAAGGTGTACAGAAAAATTCCGATCACTGCATATTCCAAATTTCCGATCACTGAATTCTGTGATCACTGTACTCCTGCGATCACTTCACTGAATATCAAGTTTACATTTTGTACAATAACTGAAATTTTCAGCAAAATGACTTCATTTCACAGAAACTACTATTGGTGACAATTTCTAACTCTGTATGTCATTCATAAGAAAAATTTAAATTACATTTCAAACAAACATAGTATTTGTCTACGTGAAAAGGTATGTTCTGCCGATAATCGCTGATTGCTTTCTTCATGTTTAACCTAGCAAATTGAAACTTTCTATAAATAACCATCAGGACATTTACATTCGTGTAATGTTAATATTTAATGATATTGTTCGTCTTTCACAAATGGTGATTAGATTTTTCACACCGAACGTACATTCACCGCCAAACCAAGCACGCGATCGCTGCAAACGGAGGCGGACAGTCACCCTATCACTTCACCACTGCAGGACAATAGATCCAGGGGGTGAAGTGAATAAAACTTCGTGGTTTTTAAAAAATGAATAATTGAAATATTTACACACCCAAACAGTCATGAAAATAAATGTAATGCTATGAATTTCGAATTCAAGGTTTTACGCCACTTTTAGCAATATTCCAGCAACATCACGGCTTGGGATACGAGAAATAGGCTTCACTCAATCTACCCTGGGTACCGAACCTGGGTATCGAACCTTGGTATTCGGCACGACGAACGAACGCTTTAACCACTAGACTGCCTCTCGAATTCAGAAGTCTGTATATGCAACCAAAAATACCGTATTAAGAGAATTCACACACACAGTACTCCAGGCCTGATATAGATGGAATATTGGTGCGGCGTTACACAACAAACAAATGAGTGAGTGAGTTTAGTTTTGCGCCGCTTCTAGCAATATTCCAGCAATATCACACCAGAAATGGGCTTCACAGATTGTACCCACGTAGGGCATCGAACCCGTGTCTTTGGCGTGACGAGCGAACGCTTTAACCACTATGCTACCACACCGCCCCAACAAACAAATGAACCTACAGCGAGGAAAACTATTACTAGGTTCGCATCTGTTCCATTTTGTTATGTTATTACTTTCACTTCAAATGCACAGTTTTGTCTTCGGAATTTAATACTTTTGTCATGGCTGACAAACACGATGGTATTTTTTCTTTAGCAGATCAAGTTACTACACAAGAAAATATTTGCATTCGCGAGAACTATAAAAAATGCGAAGCAGCATTTATATTTTTTAAGTCAAAGACAGAACCTAAACTCGATCATGAATATTAGTGTATAACATACATCGACAGTTAATTTAGTACCGAACGAGATGGTAAAACAACAACAAAAAACAAACGAAATAAAACAAAAAACCTCTGGCATTTCAATCACCGTATCGTGTTACTTCTTTGATGGGCATTTTTAGAAGTTGAGGTGATGAAGAATGATGATAAATTTATGGACATACAACAATGGCCTTTGTTTGACGACGACATTAGAATTTATGTCGAAACGTCGCCTTTCGCAGAATAAAGAAGTTGTACATCCATAAAATTATCATCGTTCTTCACCGTATCGTGTTCAACATTTTCAAATAGATGAGTGAGGGAGGGAGTATGGTTTTACGCCGCTTTTAGCAATATTCCAGCAACATCACGGCAGGGGACACGAGAAATGGGCTTCACACATTGTACCCATGTCTGGAATAGAACCCGGGTCTTCGGCCACCGCCCCTTCAAATAGATTAAAGGGTGAACAATGCGTCACGAATGAACAACGACCTCTTTCATTCTGAGGCAAATTTCTATAGTGTCAAGAAACAACGTAGCCTGAGGGTTTAATCTTAAGTGGAATCAGTATTCTGCCTTAACATGCTTACCTATTGCTTGTGAATGTGTTTTGAAAACACGTTCATAACAACATTCACAATTTATATATCCGACAATATCTGCTTGAAGGAAGTGTGTGCAGCTTACCCGGCCCGAGCTAGTGATTGACACGTGACTTAGTCTGCAATAAAAGCGTGCAGCACGTGCGTTCTCATCGGCAGACGATAAACTTGAACTCTCGCAACCCATAGCAACTGTCTAAATCGACACGCTGTGTCTCAAACAATGATGTTCTCGCACCTTTCAGCACTGAAACACCCACGTCATCTGTGTATGTTTTAAACACACCCTTGCACAAAATTAGTAAACTTATTGATAAATCTGGCACCTGCTAAACGTTTATTTGACAGCGATGATGGCGCGAATAAGTGTATCACCGTTGATATCGTAGCGGTCGCTGTCAGCGACTTCCGTTAATTACGACATTTACAGCATTTCTCATATAAAAAATGTGTCCAGAAATATATCCGTAAGTATATTTACAATATTGGAAAGTCGACGGAATTGGCCAAGTATCGTGTTTTTGTGATGTCCACCCACATCAGTTCACACCGAAACTATACATATCTAAATCTTGAAAATTTAATATTTATAGTTTCTTGACAGTCGGGTAGTTTTCTTGAGTACTTGTTGAACATATTAACGCATATTGAAAATTCAACACATCCTCGACGTTAAATTTACTTGATATTATTTAGAATTTCTTCAAGGCACTAATAGGCTTAAAATATCTACGCACGCACGCACACATGACAGTTCTTGGTTATTCGTTGGTGAAGTTTTTAGCAAGGCTGTCACAGTTGTGTTTTAGAGTGATTCAGCAAATGTTTTCAGCTTCGTAATGTTTCGAGAATGTTTGTAAGTCCTTGGTCAATTCCAGTTTTAAAGAATATGCTTACCTTTGCCCAACATTTTATTTGAATGAGCTGGTTTGTTAGAACATATTTTATTCAATGTTGAAAGGGACTGGGCACAAGTTATGTAACTTATTACCGCCCGCTCCCAGCAGAAACATGAACAATAATGAATGGACGCAATGAATGAACATAATTATATTAAGACATATTCAATAATCGAAGCGCTTACCTCTTACAATATATTTATGCACGTGACTAAAGATATTTTTTATCAATAGTATTTGGCAGAGCCGGGTCGCCGTAAAGAATGGTATCTATATGTCTAAGTGTCTTTTGATAGTGCTAAAGTCTTGCTTCAGATCAAAACAGCAGCTGACAAATTTGGGATATTTGTTTTTTTTAAAGCTAGTTTTGGACAGTAGTTCAGTTATAAATATCACGGAGTGCGAACTTGTTGTCGGAACAAACCCTAAGTGAGGCTGATCTGAGAGGTTCTTGTGAAACCGTCATGGCTGAATCAGTCCATGAATTGGGCGGTGGGGTAGTATAGCGGTTAAAGCGTTCGCTCGTCACGCCGGAGACCCGGTTCGATTCCCCACATGGATACAATGTGTCAAGCCCATTCTGAGGGTATTGGTTAGAGCGGTGTATACTCTCTCATTCAAAATCCATGAATTATTATGACGACGAATCTAGGATTCGAACCCTCCGTCGTAAGACTCTGTGAATATACGAATGTATCCGTACCAGTGAATATTGTCATAGCTGCTGGCTACATATACCATAAATTTACCAGCAAATAATGCATCAGTTATTCATCACGTGTGGATTTCTGGTTAGAGTAGGTCCTTAGCAACCTATTCTATTCGCTAGAGACGACTGAGTAGATCGGGTGGTCAGCTACAGACCCGTGCCTGTTATATTCGGACACTGGACGTAATTTCCATAGACTTACATGTTATTTCAGTGTAGCATAAATAATTTTCATGAGGTGAGTTTAGGATAGATCTTTGTAAAATTTGACAGGCAACTTCTCTCTGCTCTGCGCACAGAATTTCAGTTCATTTTCCCTACCACTATTAACTAATGACATCACATTTATCAACTTAGGTGTAATGTCTTTCAGTGGCATTTAGAAGTTGTACATTGATGTCCAAGATATTTTTTATGGATTAAACTTTTTTTAATTTCATCACAACGTTTTTGAGATTATTCCAGGTCCCTTCATCAGGGATGAAGGGACCTGGAATGGTCTCGAAACGTTGTGAGAGAAATTAAAAAAGAAGTTTAATCCATAAAAAATATCTTGGACAACTTAGGTGTAGTTCCACAATGCACAATCCCATAGGCCGCCATGTTAAAGGAGTTCACGGCACTGTTCATATGTTGATTAAATTGTTGCCATTCAATAAATAAGCAACGGAAAATTAAACAGAAATTATGTGATTGTAGGTAAGATGATTTCTCACAAATGTACAAAATTTGACTTGGATCATACGAAAATTAAATTCTTGAAAATTATTTATGCTACACTAAATTAACATGTCAGTCTATGGAAGTTACGTCAAGTGTCCGAATTTAACTGGCACGGGTCTTTACGTGACTTGGTATATTGGATGTCTTCGAACTCGCGTGACGCGCGAATTGAATCATTGGAATATCTGGGTCAAATACTCTCATTCCACGTAGGGGTGGTGGGGTAGCCTAGTGGTTAAGGCGTTCGCTCGTCACGCCAAAGACCCGGGTTCGATTCCCCACATGGGTACAATGTGTGAAGCCCATTTCTGGTGTCCCCCGCCGTGATATTGCGGGAATATTGCTAAAAGCGGCGTAAAACCAAACTCACTTAATCACTCATTCCACGTAGCTGAAATATCGTTGTTTGGTGTGGTGTTGAACAAGAAACAAAAATCAGTAAATTGTCTGGTCTATTGTTTCATTAAGGCTGACTTTGGATGTGTGGACTCTCAGCTTTGGGGTAGCCTAGTGGTTAAAGCGTTCGCTCGTCACGCCCAAGACCTGGGTTCGATTTCCAACATGGGTACAGTGTGCGAAGCCCATTTCTGGTGTCTCTCGCCGTGATACTGCTGGAATATTTCTAAAAGCAGCGTAAAACCGTACACACTCACTCACTATATGGACGTGGGGTGTAACAATGAATGAGCGAACGAACGAATGAATGACGGTTTCGTAATGCCATGTTAATGGTTGAAAATGTGCCCTCATTAGCGTTCACAAGTTGGCTTTTCACTTGTCACACATCGCGGCAGTGTTTAGTTGCGGCGGTGCGGTATTTTGCAAGAGGTCGGACTTGGTGGCGTATTTTTCCTTAAATCTATTAACCACTTGTACCAAACCTGCTGGCAAGCCGCCTTCCCCACGTTGTCCGTACAGTGTATGCTTCATCGTCCCGGTGCTCCAGAGACGTAGGTTTAAAAGCAACACATCCGTGTTTACATAAACAGTCTTCAGTTTCGAAGCTGGTCTAACACTTTTGAATAATAAACATTACGTTTTAAACGTACCTCGAAAAACTTAATGAATGTTCCCTGGAAAAGATGCTATTTCATAGTCAGCTGGAGTTTTACTATAAAGGACAACAGTTAAGAGTTGCGTCGCCTACATATTCCAGGAAACCGTGATATGTGTTCGAATCCCAGACCACCATCGAAAAATGATGAAAAAATAAGTTTGTTTGTTGCTTGTGGCAGCAATATTTCAACTTTTGAAGGGTAGCCTATAAATACACTACAACGAATGAGTGAGTAAGTGAGTTTAGTTTTATCCCGCTTTCGGGGCGGTGGGGTATCCTAGTGGTTAAAGCGTTGGCTCGTCACGCCGAAGACCCGAATTCGAATCCCCACATGGGTACAATGTGTGAAGCCCATTTCTGGTGTCCCCCGCCGTGATGTTGCTGGATTATTGCTAAAAGCGGCGTGAAACCAAACTCAGTCAGTCAGTTTATCCCGCTTTCAGCAATATTCCAGCAATTTCAAGGATGAGGACACCAGAAATGAACCTCTCACATTGTATCCGAGTGGGGCATCGAACTGGGGTCGCTTGTGGACGCTTGTAACACTGTCCCATTACGACCAAATTTAAATTAGTTTAAGATGTAAACCGAGCCCCTTTGCTTTGGAAAGTTTTTACAAAAATTCGATGAAGAAAAAAACCTATCTTTCCTGAGTTATTTATGCGTGTACAGGGGTAAGAGTATTATTCATGACATCAGCGCATTAATTTCCACAGTTCTTCGGAAAATTGAGATAAGAAAATCTATAAAAAAGTTGCATGAGAATGAAAATTCAAGATGAACCTGAGATAAAAAACAGACAGCCTATGACAGAATTTGCAAATTTTCACCTGCAAGCGAAAAATATTTGGCCTTGTGAATGCACTTCCTAATCTGCTTTTTATTCATTGCAATTTGTGAAAATGGCCAAAGTGTGAAGAATAGTTTCGTTGTTGTATTGCATCAAAGGTTGTAGGTCATTCTGCATGAGCATCCATCAACGCAATTGGGAGACGATGACATGTGTTAAACAACACATCCTTGGAATTATTACTCGTCCATGGAAGATACTGCAGTGTAATATGTTTACGTCAATATTTTAAGCGGCCTTCACACGGCAAACTAAAGTTTGACAACACATGTTGTCAAACTCGAGTTTGAGTGTGTGAACATTCCAACAACTCGCCACCAACACCAATTTCAGAGTTGTCAAACTGTTGTCGAAAAATAGGATCGGTCTCTATTCTCACCAACTTTTCCATCAAACTTTCGGTGTTGTCAGACTCGAGTTTGATGTGTGAAGTGCTGTCAAACTCCAGTTGTTCAGAAACAACCAATCGCAGTCAAAGAAATTGTCACGTGATGTGACGTTGCGCTCAAATGACACGAAAGTTTGACCAACATGTGTTTGACGTTTGAAAAAGCGAGTTTGACAACTTTAAAATTTTAACATGTGTTGTCAAACTTTAGTTTGCCGTGTGAAGGCCGCTTGACACTTATGTAATACCGCTAGACGTATGACGTCATAATGGTTTAGTTATGACGTCACAATGGTAATACCTCTGTCACAATGGCATTAGGCCTTGATTGACTCACGGAAAGCTCAGTCATCACACTGTAATAAAAAAATGTAAACAGTTTCTACCAATTTATGTTGGAGAGTAATAAACAGAATACTAAACTATTTAAATACCATTTTTTATTAAACTCGTGAAAGATTTAGCATCAAACTCGCTTTCGCCCGTTTGATACCAAATCATTTACTCGTTTAATAAAAAGGGTATCACACGGAAGGTCGTTTAGTATGCTCTATAAGTTGTATGCTTCTCTCGAGGGTAATACGGTCTAATGTACGCCTCTTTGTAGCAGTGTTACCCGAGCCGGTAGACGGGATAACACTGCTACAAAGAGGCGTACATCAGACTGACTGGCTGAATGACTTTAGTTTTACGCCGCTTTTAGCAATATTCCAGCAATATCACGGCGGGGGGATACCAGAAATGGGCTTCACACATTGTGCCCATGGGGGGAATCGAACCCGGGTCTTCGGCGTGACGAGCGAACGCTTTAACCACTAGGCTACCCCACCGGCCCACGTACATCAGACCGTATTACCCGAGGGAGAAGCATACAACGTATATATCATACCGCCATGTTAAATGTACAAACTATCATTTTATTTTATTTTAAACATCGCTACAGACTACATGACATGCAAACAAAATGGCGTCTGCCCCTCGACTGGATTTTTTAAATCAGTGAAACATATTCTGACAAGGTTAACACTGCTATAAAAATGGTTAATTATGTTTAAGTTGAGTGTGCAAACGATTCAGTGTATAAAATAGTTTAAATAAAGCAGTGAAAGTCGGTAAAATAAATCTGTACATAGTGAACTAAAAAACAGCTAATCGAATGGTTTTAGAACTCCGGAAACTGCATGCGTCATATTATGACGTCATACTATTGTTTGCGATACAGCTTCTCGGCGGAGAATTTGGCAGTTACCGTGGCGGCGGGTAATATTTTTTTCCAGTTGTCACCCTCCTGGGAGGGGTGACACGGAAACTTGTTAAAGTGTCATTGACCCATGAAATTAAAGTATTTCACACGAAGGTAAGATAAGTGTTAACCAACACATCCTTGGAAATATTGCTGCAGTGACGTCGCAACACAATGCCTTGCAGGCCATTGTGATGTCATGTTACCACCATGTCACAATGAAATGACATCACTAACCTAACACTGACTTTGTTTAGCTGTATCTTTGACTGAAAGCTCACCTGAAAACTGATTCTCATCCAAGAGTCTTTTGTAATGAATTTTTTTAATCATTGTCATTAAAAGTTAAAAAAAAAAAAAACAAACTTGGGAAGCCTCAGTGTTTGAAACAATTATTGGATAGAAAGATTTAACATCAGGTGGCAATTTCAGGGATTTTCTAAATTTATTTGGTACTTTTTTATTAGAAAAAATCAGTGGTGTTGAGAACAGGGAATAATGAATATTGATAACAACCATTTGCTGCATGTTGTTTTAGGTGTCAGGGCTGGTAAGTACTGATCTGTTTTGTGTTACACCTGTTTACTAAGGGTGACCCTGTTCTTTTGAACATAAGACCATTATTGTTATTGGCTTGAACTGATAGAAGATGTAAAACTAGCATACCCCAACAGTGAGTGAGTGAGTTTAGTTTTACGCCGCACTCAGCAATATTCCAGCTATATGGCTGATCCAGGCTCGATTATTTACAGACCGCCGCCATATAGCTGGAATATTGCTGAGTGCTGCGTAAAACTAAACTCATTCACTCACTCTAGATATGTGCAATAATCTAGAACACCACGAAGTTGAACCACATCTCACCTCACCAGACACTTGACCTGGAATTATTCAGGATCTTTCAAACTACAGCAAAAGGTAAAACAAAACCAGTAACTTGGCATAATATTGCTTTAATTTTCAACAGACATGTAAATAGTGAAAGTTGTTGCCAGATGGTACATTCATGATCAGACAATAAATAATACTTTCCTGAAAACAAAAATCATGAAATTCATAATTGTACCTAAACATTATCATATATCAAAATATATTATCATGATTGTGGATATTTATGGTCATGTAACAATTAGTAACAATTCCAGTCAGAATCAACCCAAACGTTTGGAAATAATTGAAGTGGTCAAATATCTTACATTAATAGAATTTTAACAAAATCAAACTTAAAAATCAAAACAAAAAGTAGTTGAGATGTGTATCAAACGAAAACATTCAATTACACAAACAAAATTTAATTTACTCAATATATATTTTAAGCCTGTTTCATGTACATACATGTTTAAACAGATAATTGTACTATAAAATTAAAATCACATTTTTGACTGTTTATTATCACAGCGTTCTTTGTCTTCATTAGGCTTAGATTTACTAGTGGATTTAGTGAGTGAGTGAGTGAACTGGGTTTAAACTGTATTCATGTGATGCAGGTCTCGGATGTTTACCCACAAGCAAGGGTATGGTGCCCACAAACCAAGAAACATGAGGGCAAAATGGGATTCAAACCCATGAAAATTTTCTCATAAATTGTGGTATATTTACTGATTATGTAGCAAAACCATGCTAAATTTATATAATTTGCAAATCATTACAAATACATTTGTGTACATTTTACATATATATTTTTTCTGAATAAATTTTTAGAACAAACGAAATGAAATAAAAAAATTGTAAGATGTTTTCCTAGTTTCAGCTCGTTAATTTTAGCTTTCTTATGTTATCATCAAGAATGGGATGGTAAAACGTCTTCTCAGTTTACCCACTAAATCACTGAAATTCAAGCCTAATGAAGAAATGTTGTACAAGTTAACGTTGTCAGTTATATTGGTTGTAGTCTGTCGAGAGTGTTGTTTTTCAGTTTATCTGCAAAAGCTTGATCCATCCTGTCAATGGCTTCACCAATGACCGTGTATGCCTGAAAAAGAAGGGAGACAACTCATTACAACTTCCTGTCAGATCATCAACACTATTCCAACTGTACCACAGCTGGGATATATTTCAACTATTAAAATCTAAGCTAAGGCCAGGCCAAGTTTATTTCTTGTTTTACGGATCCGCCTGTCATATTTTTTAAAGAATAAGAAAAAAAATTTAATTAATTTTCCCTGCTCAAAAAATATAATCCTAATGTTTTTATTGGATTGCCTTTTTGTGTCCAATATACACGTCATAAATTGCCAAAAGTGAAATACTTTTAGTATTTAAAAGTAATATTATTTTGACTGGTGATTTATTATTTTTTTTCCTCCTGCCTGTAGGTTTTCTGAGGACAAAAATCCATAAAACAATAAAATTGGTCTGGCCAAAGCAAACCAATAGTTCATAGTATAATCAGGTATACATTCCAGAGACATGATAACTCATTCTCTTTCATGAAATCTGACAGTGTTCACTACCTCTTCACAAAGATTTGAGGACATTCCAACATAGGTTAGGGCAGAATGACTTTTAATCCGACCAGAGGTTCTCTTGATTTTTTTCCCATTCATGCAACCTGGAAATGGTTAACATGAGGCATTCTGGACGACAGATACGGACTGTACAATTGATTCCAAATTCTCAACATTGTCTCGCTTGAATTTATAATGGTAGAAACTTACCATAGCCCTCTGAAGCTATAGGCATTCTGGAATGTTCTGTCATTCAGTTTTGAAATACTGAATCGCGTAGTCTGAACTAGAAGTAGCCATTTTGAAACTCTGAAGAAGCTAAGCAAATATGGCCATATAATGCGAGTTTTATTCAGATTGTATGAGAAACTACCATTACTAATCACTGTAATCATAATGCAAGCAGAATTTGTCCTGAAATCTACAGCTATTAGCATACCATATTAACTGTAATCAGAGCTCTGGGCATGAGAAGAAAGTGTTCTAGAACTTACAGTTATCAACATACCATATTTACTGTAATAAGTGTTCTGGTCAATATAAACATGACATTGTGGGCAGGGGCGTACCTACCATTATAAAAACAAGCATTGTCACTAAGGTGACATAACCCCCCTCCGCAAATTATCAAATCAAACTAAAAAAAGTAATGAAAGTGAAGGTCGTAATTTAAGATGAACAAAAACATGACCAGTCAACCTCTCTTGATATCTTGCTCTGTAGTTGTTCAAACGCACAAATATTTTCAAGACTCACTTTGACCTTGACATGAATGTCTTAGTGTATGAAATATGCAAAAATAGTAATAAAGAAATTGCTTATTGAAAAACATTCAAGGGAAGTCTTGAAAGTCTATGAAGAAAATCCAGTGAACCGTTCTTGAGATATCTCGCTGACAATCTTAACATGCAGTTTAAGATGCTGAAATCTTCAAAGTGTTGCCGTGACCTTGAACATTATGTGAAGGTCACAAAAATCGACTGGAACTTGCACCTTCCCTAGATGAAGCTTGTCAATTATGAAGAAAGTCAAGTGAATGGTTCTTGAGATATCTCACTCAGAATCTTTACATGCAGGTTAACATGCTTAAAAAAATTTAAAGTGTCACTGTGACCTTGAAAATTAAGGGAAGGTCAACAACATCGACTGGGCCCTGCACCTTCCCTCGATGAAGCTTGATGTCGAATATGAAGAAAATCCAGCGAACGGTTCTTGAGGTATCTCGCTGACAAGCTTAACATACAGCTTAACATGCTGAAATCTTCAGTGTCGCCATGACCTTGAAAATTAGGTGAAGGTCACCAAAATCGACTGGGCCCTGCGCCTTTCCTAGATAAAGCTTGGTGTTGAATATGAAGAAAATCCAGTGAATGGTTCTTGAGATATCTCGCTGACAAGGGTAAAACGTTAAAGTCCCCTTGTGACCTTGAAATGAAGGCCAAGGTCACCAAGCCTGACTGGGACCTTTCTTTTACTGTGATGAACCTAGGTACCAAATATGAAAAGAATCCAGTTAGCGGTTCTTAAGATATTCCAATTCGTACAATCGGACAGATGGACGGACAGACGGAGCCTAATACTATATTCCCCGTTTCGCGCTAAACGTGCGGCAGGGGATAAAAAGCCTTTTGACTTTAGCTATGAAATTTGGGCAAGCCCTCAATACTATCTAAACATAAAGCTTTGCAACCTATCGGGTTTACACATGAAAAATGGCTTGCTTACGTGCCTGATTGGGAGTACCTGTTACAGTCTTACACAACAAGTAAAATTTGTTTTCAGAGATCAAATGGTAGTGAACAAACTTCCTTCAAACATTGATGAAACAAATCGTTACTTGCACCCACACAACACTTCTACATCAGAACTTTTTGTCAACAGTTCGTAACACACAGAAAAATACCATCTGTGATGGGAGCTTTAGGTTAGTAGGGTGCTTGTAAACATTACTTACATATTGGTCTAGAAACTGGAAGGGGACACTTATTTAAACAAGGAGCTTAATACATGGCAGCTACTTTTTACAGAGGACCACATTTTATGGATTGACAACTTTTTTATTGCAAATGATGTGATGGTTCGGTGTAGATGCTAACATGGTTATCTTGCAAGAGACATTGATACATGTAGTATCTACACCAAAGTATCACATCTATTGCAATAAAAAAGTTGTCAATCCATAACATTTGTTTCTCTTCATCATACAAGCTTCTAAAGAAGCTATTGTAAGTATTAAAATCGCAATTTCACTTCTACCAACATAATGAAAATAGATGTTCTTTGAAGCAACACATTATTTGAAGCAATACATTATTTGAAGCATTACATAGTTTGAAGCAATACATTCTTTGAAGCAATACATTCTTTGAAGCATACACTCCATCAAATATTAATCATATCACTCAAATTGTTGTTTTTTAAATTGAAGCATAATTTAAGAAGTGTTTAAACATGCCACAGAATATTGGTTCTGAAACCGTATTACCAGAAAATGTTGAGATAAGATGTCTGTGTATGACATACCCTGTAGAGCTAGTAAACTTATGTCTAGTCAAGTCAGCTAGAAGAGGCCATGTTTTTTTATACACCTGAACATTTAGTTTGGTAAAATGATTTTGGCACGGATTGAATCTTCGTATAGAACTCCACCCAAATGGATATCAAAGGCTAACATCCTTGTTTCTAGAAAAAGGTCCAAGCTGACCGAGCCCATACCTGACAAAAGAATGAGTAATTGTCTAGAAACCTCCCATGTTGATATCAAATCAGGCTAGCCTCCATATTTCTAGAACAACGTCCCTACCTGACAGTAGAATGAGTAATTGTCTAGAAACCTCCCATGTTGATATCAAATCAGGCTAGCCTCCATATTTCTAGAACAACGTCCCTACCTGACAGTAGAATGAGTAATTGTCTAGAAACCTCCCATGTTGATATCAAATCAGGCTAGCCTCCATATTTCTAGAACAACGTCCCCGAGCCCATACCTGACAGTAGAATGAGTAATTGTCTAGAAACCTCCCATGTTGATATCAAATCAGGCTAGCCTCCATATTTCTAGAACAACGTCCCTACCTGACAGTAGAATGAGTAATTGTCTAGAAACCTCCCATGTTGATATCAAATCAGGCTAGCCTCCATATTTCTAGAACAACGTCCCTACCTGACAGTAGAGTTTTTCCCTGTACTTCCTCTCCAGCACTGGATCGGCGTCGGGGGCGGGGCTGGACGGTGTACTGACGGGCGTGACTGCCCTCTCCACAGGCCCTGGGGTAGCTACAGGTCCTCGACTGGGAGGTTTCTTAGGACCTGGTGGTGCCTTCTTTGGATCTGGCTTGGGGGTCTGTGATAAGATGAAAGATATTTCTCAACACTGACATGTGACATTGAGACTATAAACCTGAGTGTACCTCCATATCATAAATATTATACAAATATTGTTTGGTGCCAGCCTTGGGTGAACAGCTACATATTTTTCTTTCCTTATATTTGTCACTTCTATTATGGTAAGGCATTAATCTCTTTATCAAATACTGTCATTCATGTAATAACATTGAAGATGTAATTTCACTCATAATAAACTCTCTCATCAGAGAGATGAGTGATTTGTATCAAAGCGAACAGCTTAATCTTGGAACTCAACCTGTGAGTACTTCTGACAGAACAATGGTAAATGTGGTATTCAAACACAACATCGGCTGATCCCAATACAGCAAAGGGCCTTAACTCTGCAAAGTGAAATGCCGAGCTGAGCCTTACACCACTTCATCACTTGCAACCAAGCCCCTTAACCCTGATAAACACAAAATCAAAACCATATACTGAATAACCAAAAGTATTAAACAGTTACAACTGTCACTGCACAGTTACCAATTCTCAAAACCATTTGCCTCGCTAAGCCTCAGGTACAGCAAGAAAATTTCAATGAGGCGAACTGCATTTCCAACTGAAACAGCTACTGTCCATCCACTAAATGATCCTTATTGTTTATGATTTAACTTCAGAATTGCTAATATTCCAATAAATTAAATTTCATTTTTGCACCATTAAACTGTAACATGAGCAAAGTGAGTGAGTGAGTGAGTATAGTCTTACACCACTTTTAGCAATATTCCAGCAATATCACGGCGAGGAACCCCACACTTTGTACCCATGTGGGGAATCAAACCCGGGTCTTCGGTGTGATGAACGAATGCTTTAACCACTAGGCTATCCCACCGAACCAGAGGATTAAGAAGGGCGATACTATTAATACATAAACTGGTCATGGATAACTGAGAGAGAAGAGGTCGTCTGTTGAATATCTGAAGACTGTATTGTGATGACAGCCAACATACATGATTCCTGCAGCTGATGTTACAGAGGTTTTATATTCATATGAATGATGGTTATTTTGTTAACATTGTTTTTTGTTCATGAAAAGACGTATAATTTATGCAAGGCACAAATGAAACAAACTGAGTACAAAAACATATATCTTTGCAACAAAGCAGTGCAGTCTTCGTTGTAAAAGCTCTTTCGCCGCATCTCAGACAAAATAAAATGATTGATAAGCCAGTATGCAAGAAAATAATGCAGGCTAAGAAGTGAAGCCAAGATCAAGTGCAGTAAACGCTACTTAAAATATACATATACGTAGATTGTTTTGGCATCATGTTCCTACACAAACAAATACATGTGGCTCCCAGCTCTTCTAGACATTAGCTATAATTGATTTTAAAACTTTCTGTGATTGGTGGAAACCCAGCCGATTTATCACTGAAACAGATTGGATGATATTTCACCAGACATAAAAAATACTGACCAAGACAATTTGTCTTAACATTTTAAAACTATCTGCGATTGGTGGAAACATTCATCAAGAAAACAGTTTCTGCAAATAAAACCAACTTTATTTGTTTTTATCCTTCTAAAAACTGGATACTTGAGGACAGAAACCCAGGCACATTTAAACAGTTTATGTTGATGGTAAGGCTAAAGCCATATACAGTGAGACCCCGGCTATCCGGACACATTCGTTTTTTGCGTAAATCGTCCGGATAACTGAATATCCAGATATCTGGACTTCTGTCATCCAGGCTTAGGTGTTGAAATGATAGCCAGCACACACTTCTGGTTTAAAAACACTTTAAAAACAGCCTTGTTGTTTTGATTTGCCAATTACAATTCACTCTGTGTCAGATAGGCCTACTAATCACCACCAATACCCTGCTGATCGGTCATTAATCCGGATTAGCAGACCCTGTCTCGTGTCAAGACACGTGGGACACTCGCGTTTCACTTCACACGGTCAGCAGAAGACCAAGGCTTCGTGCGGAGAAGTGAGTCAATTTTGTGTCGATTAAACTGGTTGGTTTGTAAAATTTACCGTCCAGGAATGGAAACCGCATATCCGTTCCAGACAGTCACTTTTGTAACGTAAGAGATTTTTTTTAAAATGAGAATTGACCAGAAGGCGAGGTTTCCGAGTATCAGGGATCACATTGTAAATAATTTAAAAATTGAAATTGTACCTCTCAGACTTTGTAATAATGAAACAAACTATTTGAAATTGTTTTTCAGTCTGACAAATATGACTACAAGTCACATCTTCACACAACCCATCACCATGAATATAAAAAAGAAGAAAAGAAAATGACAAACGAAAAATTGTGCAAAGATTACGCCTGTGCTGCTCATTGTGAAGGAGGAATTGATAAACACAAAATGTTTACTTTTGCAAAACTATTTTAAAACTGCATGAACATTTAAGAAATATACTCTATCAGCTTATCAAATGGCTTATCTTTCTTTCAACTTGCAACAAACAAAGAATCTTGCCTGCCATATTTCACAGTTAGTACTGTAGGTGCTTAGGAGGTGAGGTGAGGTGAAATTGGGTTTAACGTCGTGCTTGAGAATATTTCGCTCATATGACGACGTGCATGAGTGTGTATGTGTATGTGCAGCTGGTTGTACTAGCCCAGACTTAAGCTGGTTTTATAGTGCTAGCCCACTGAGATACCATGCCGCAGTGAAGCATGAATACCCCAGTCAAACACATTATACTGACTCCGAGGTGCTTAGGAAACCAACAATTAGAGTATTTATTACACAAGCTAAATTTGATGTCCGATACTGAGGGAACGATAACATACTTAATTCCAGTGGGGGTCCGATTAATTGAAATAATTGAAGATTGGTCGCAGTGACTAAACGACCAAGCAATTGATCATGTTTTCTCATAATCGAACACAAACAATTTTGGAACACTTGTTTGCATTAACGATCTTGTTTGCAAGGTTGGTTTTATCTGTGCATTAAATTTACATTTCATAAACACTACAAGGTCGTTCCAAGTCATGATTGAATTTATCTTAAAGACTCCAGGAAATTTATGTTCCTAACATACTAGTCCTGCTTTAAAGATGTGAGATATGCAAATGCATTTTGTGCGATTTGCAAACCCCCCCAAACTACATGTTTGTTTTTTTATTTTTCTGTGCATTAACAAAAATAACAGGAAAATTTGATAAATGACGCTAACCAATTATTTTCGATGATTGATGGGTTGTAATGAACCAATCATCAATTGTGTGATTTTAACTAATTCCCAACACTACTTAATTCCACATCCATTTCAGTAAACACTTAGCAGTAATGTAATTGACTGTACTATTCATGACATACTACAGGCTGTCACATACATTTTCCACCTTGGGGTGGTGGGGTAGTCTAGTGGTTAAAGCGTTGACTCGTCATGCCGAAGACCCGGGTTCGAATCCCCACATGGGTACAATGAGTGAAGCCCATTTCTGGTGTCCCCCGCCGTGAAATTGCTGGAATATTGCTAAAAGCGGCGTAAAACCAAACTCAGTCAGTCAGTCCACCTTAGTAAAGATGCTTGTAAAGAATACTTACATAAACACATGCTCATAATAAAGTTAAAAATCGTACAATCAATTGGCAGTTGTTTTGTGAATGTGAAAAGGGTTTGTCGCTCTAATTTACAGAATGGTCAAGAAGTTAAATAATGAAAATTTTTTATGGATAACAACTTGTTTTGTGAGTGTGAAGTTTCGATACAGACTCTTGTACCGTTGTCATTCACAAATTCCTGCGTGACAATGGAACAAGAATCTGTATCGAAACGTCACACTCATGAAATAAAAGAAGTTGTTATCCATGAAGTTTGTTCAATATTGTACTTCCCAACTTCTAAAATGCCACTCAGAGAAGTGGTCAAGGAGCTGGTCAAGTAGTGGGCATTTAATACCATGAGTAAATAATATTAGGTTGACTTTAAAAGAAATGAATACAAAATGATGAATAAATACGAATGGAATAAATCTGAAAATTAATAATCAAATAGCAACCTTCAAATTTTCACTAATTTTATACGGAATAAATCTGAAAATTAATAATCAAATAGCAACCTTCAAATTTCACTAACTTAATACCAAGATGGGGTCTTAGATACTTGGACAAATCAACTTGAAACCATACTGCCGGCAGGGCGACAGCCTGTTTCGTAGTCCCTGAACCACATTACTTTCCCCTACTGCCGTGCCCTCCCTGCAATGCTAAAGCCCTAAATGTAGTCTGTCTCACAGTCCCTGAACCACATTATTTTCCCTACTGCCTAGCCCTCTCTGCAATGCTAAAGACTTAAATGAAGCAAGTCTAGATTTTCCAGGTTCTGAATCTCCCAACTCACTGTGGCTCCTTTTCAATTTAAATGGGATTATTTGTTACTATCAAAGTTATATATATTCAAGGACTAAGCGTTAGTCTAGCAGGGCGTTATTTTGTATTTTCCTCCTTGCACCTAGCTAGTTCAGGGGGAATTTACCAACTGAGTGCACAACAGATAAACTGTCTACATCACATACTTCACAGGATGTATTGAAGTTGACGATCCGTAGACCACGTAAACAGGATGTAAACGCGAGCATCACACGGAGGAAAGTAATTTCATTTCAAAAGGTTTTGATCCTGCATTCACATTAAAAATTTGAAGCGAGTGATTTTTATTTATTTTTGTGTGGAATGTTTTACAGACTTCATGAAGTGCAGTCTGCTTATTAACCTACATTGCAACAACCATGATTTTCACCGCAGCAAAGCAGTTTTGTCAACTGGAAAACACCACCTGATAAACCATGCTTATACATACAATCAATCTGAGTGAGTGAGTGAGTATGGTTTTACGTGCATTTAGCAATACTGCAGCAATATCACGGCGGGGTACACACCAGAAATGGGCTTTACACATTGTGCCCATGTGGGGAATTGAACACGGGTCTTCGGCGTGACGAGCCAAAGCTTAAACCATAAGACTACCCCACCGCTCCACAATCAATCTGAAGTACATATCAAAATATCCAAATGATAATATAAAGTGAATTATTAAAATAAATATGTTTATGAATAATATCACAAGAAGAGACACTGAATCAAAAACATGCATTTCTTTTATTTATTTAAAATGATCTAAAATTATAAGTTAAATAAATGATCTTTTATTAAAAAGAAAAAGTTTTGGATCATGTATTTTGGCTTCTGTAGCAGTACAATGAATAAACTATAGAATATAACATAAAGTTTTCTATTTAATCATTTAAAAGATCAATGACTCAAAATTATGCATCTGAATCTTAATTTTCAATGAACTACAAAAGCAAAACATTAAAAAAATAATCTTTTAGGCCAGACAAATTTTATTTCTTGTTTTACGGATCCGCTGATCATGTTATTTCAAGAATAAGAAAAAACAATATAAATTAATTTTCCCTGCTCAAAAAATAAATCCTAATGTTTTATTGGCCAAAAATGTAAACTTTCAAGAACATTTTTTTTAAATTGTTTTTTGCCCCATATACACTTCATAAATTGCCAGAAGTAAAATATATTTAGTATTTAAAAGGAATTTTACTTCTTTACTCTTTTAATTTTTAGCACTTTTCCCTCCTGCCTTTAGATTTTCTGAGGACAAAAATCCGTAAATAAGAAATAAAATTGGTCTGGCCTTATATAAGAAAATGTAAAACTTGAAACAGATAAGAATGAAACCTGATCCACACAGGCATATCATAAAGACTACCCAAAATTTAACATGTTTGGTGCAGTATGAATCATGGAAATGTTGCTATGACTACCTACATAAACAAAAACATGGATGGTATAAAACAATCACCGCTATGTGCTCAATCTCTTCCTGAAAACAATACAGTATATATTTTATGTAATATAAAAATACTGAAATGGACACCAGTAGATTGTCATTTTGTGAAAATTTTGTGATTCACTGAAATAAGGTTGAAGCATGTATTTTCATCCGCGATTATCGAAGGTATCTCCATTTTAGTTAGATCGACATACATCCTGATTCCAAACAAGACAGAAATTTTCCTCCAGTATGCTCAAATGTAAAGATTAAATGCACAAAAAAGAGATTTCAATAATATTAATTCACCAATTTCTTGGCAAGAAAAAAAAAGGGCGTAAATTTTCAATAGTTATAAAAACTTAAAGTACATTACACCATTTCATTACTTTAAATGACCCTAATATTTCCTGTGACTTTGAAATGAATCATTGGAGCCCCTTGGATCCCAGTTTTGTAGGTCACGGTTAAACCCATTTACGACCATAGTTTCTTTTCGTTTATGGGTCACATGACAGGATGCTGACAAAAATCAAAGCATCATGGCTGAAATACATAGGAACATCATAGGAGATCAACCATCTTTAGATTTAAACCAATATGTCACGCCCACTCGGATGAGACAGGGCCTTTAATACAGATCTTCGCCTGACGCATGTACAGGATAAACATTTTGATTGGCTGTTGATTCAAGCTGACAGCGAGATAAATTCTGTAGGTGGTGATAAGAGAGATTGAGATAACAGAGGGCATCATTTCTGAAGTGAAGCCAGTGTAGTTAACAGCTCCACGGTGTTTTGACAAAAAGAATGGAGATGTTATACGTAGGATGATAGTGGATGATAGTGGTGATGATAGTTCTGATTATGTTGCTATGCTCTAGATGATGATGATGATGATGAATGTTGAATCTCTCTTAATAATAAGTCATCTTCTATAGCGCACAGTCTCCAAACACCAAGTGATTGCTCGCGGCGCTTAATCAGAATCTGATTCTTATTACCCCGGATAACCCAAGCTGCCTGTTAGGCGCTAGAAGGTTATAGTCACATGACTTTATCCCACCGGGTACCCATTTTCTGCTGGGTGAACAGAGGCAATTTGAACAAACACCCTTGCCTAAGGTGAGACCACATGCATCACATGTGCTTCGTTGACTGAAGTCCTAGAAACTCTCAGGAGTCAGGCTGCCAAACACGGTCACCCATCCAAGGATTGTCCGAGCTTGACGTTGCTTAACTTCAACTGATTTGGGTGGGTGAGTGAGTGAGTGAGTGAGTGAGTGAGTGAGTGAGTGAGTGAGTGAGTGAGTGAGTGAGTGAGTGAGTGAGTGAGTGAGTGAGTGAGTGAGTGAGTGAGTGAGTGAGTGAGTGAGTGAGTGAGTGAGTGAGTGAGTGAGTGAGTGGGTGAGTGAGTGAGTGAGTGAGCGAGCGAGCGTTAGAGCTATAGGGGTGTAAGGTGTGTGGGCGTACTGCCTGACATCCCTCGGTCATAAAGTCATTAAATATTGAGCCTTGGAAATATCTTGGTACTAATGTCACTTATCGGTACAGTTTGGAAGACTACCTATGAATAGATATTTAACATGAACCTATATGTAGACACAATGATGCACATTGCAAAATGATGTCATAGCACAATATGATTTGTTTGTTTGTTGGTTGGTTGGTTGTTTAATGCCCCGCTCAGCAATATTCCAGCTATATGGCAGCAGTCGGTAAATAATTTTATTATGCAAGCATATTTTTCCGGCTACCTGATTGGTCTAGAGGCGGTCACGTGACCGTCGACAGAAAAGCATATTGACTCCAACCCAGGTCCGACCAAAAGTCATATTGACCTGAGTTACTATGACGTCAAGCTATGACGTCATTTTATTGTTTACATGTCACAGCATTGTTGACATAACGTTATTGGTTTGTAATGAAAATAAAATTACTTTTCTTGACTAAATGGACATGTTTTGGATTTTAGAAGCTTTTTTTCGGTAATTACATAATAAAACAATTATAGACTGGCGAATTCGGTCAATACCTGTTTTTATGGACCCACGAAAAGCAATTGTCCTCGGTCAATATTGCTTTTCGCGTGTCCATAAAAACAGGTATTGACCTCATCACCAGTCTATAATTGTATAGAGTCTGGACCATACAATCCAGTGATCAACATCATGAGCATCGATCTATGCAATCGGGACGCAATGACGTGTCAACCAAGTCAGCGAACCTGACCACCTGATCCCACTAGTCGCCACTTAGCTGAGTGAGTGAGTGAGTGAGTGTATGAACGAGCGAGATGGTGGATGGCTGAATCTGTGTTTTGGGTAAGAGTATGTTAGTGAGTTGGTGTTTTGATTGAGTGAGTGAATATGTGAATGAGTGAGTGTGATGGTTGGTGTTTTGATTGAGTGTTAGGGTGAGTGCGAGGGTCGTTGGGAGTGAGTGAGTGAGTGAGATGGCTGAATCTGTTTTGGGTAAGAGTAAATGAGTTGGTGTTTTGATTGAGTGAGTGACCAGTATGTGAATGAGTGAGTGTGACGGTTGGTGTTTTGATTGAGTGGTAGAGTGAGTGCGAGGGTCGTTGTGAGTGAGTTAATGAGAGTAAACATGTGTTTTTGGTAAGAGTGAGTGAATGAGTGAGTGGATGTGATGTGTTTTTCAGCAATATCAAATAGAGGGTATGTAGGAGTTATACAACAAAACCAAAAACGGCTGTCACATTAACAATTGACCAAGTAAGGAATCAAACCTAAACCTTTGACCAGACAAGCATACACTTTAACCACTAAACCACCCTGAGAGTAGAAAATGTGATGATACGCTCGTGGAAGGAATCAAATACTGTACTAACATGGAACAAACAGATTTTTTGCAAAATTCCTTACCTCTTTCCCGCTTTTGACTGCCTTAGCATCCTTTCCTGGTGTTCCTCTTTTATCTTTCCCATCTGCTTTTGACTTGTCTGCTGTCTTTCCCCTCCGACTGTCACCTGTGCAATGCTCAATAGGTAAGACACCATGGTCAAAGGGAGACAACTCTACAGTGCCATTACAGTATGAAACAAATTAAATATTGATGTGCAAATCAGGAATGTACGACAAAGACGTAAACAAATGCAAAATAGAATAGTAAGCATTGAAATTTTATCATGCAAATATCAAAACAGACAAAATTAAGGAATTGTAAAATATATATTCAATCCCATTACAAGAAACACCATGTTCATAATCAGAATTATGAAATGAATATAAACATGCATTATACATACTGGCATACAAATATCGGTCACACACCATTGGGTCAAATTTGATAGGACTAAAGAACTGTACAATTCATCAATGCCTTTTAATAATAAGTTAAAATATATTGGAATCAGATTTTGAATTTTGGTATTCTGATATCCATAGATCATGTTTCATGAATGTTAACTTTACCAAACACCAAGATTGTATTGCACAGATCGGCTGTGACTCTTCTGCTGTTATGATCAATCAAAATGATTTTCGCTGCAAAATAAATAAAAACAAAACCTTGATGTGATTTAAACAAGGTCAAAAGAGACAGGCATTGTGAATCTTTAACCGACAAATGTTGATCAAATTTTGACCCCAAAGCTCTTGTACTGTTAACACTGTTAGGTGTAGGTTAATTGCAAACTAACTGCAGTATTGTAAATTTAAAATGTTAACAGCAAAATTTGGTAAGGGAAAGGCACATAAAATATTATGCAAACATTTAAAAAAACTAAATTTTTTTACAATGAAACAGAAGTTATTTCCACATTAGGAATACAAATTCAGCCTTATGACAGTCGTAATCTATCCCACCTACTACCAAAGAGTAATGCAAACCTGGATATGAGAGAATAAAATTGCAAATTCAAATATTCAGCCTTGTGACTCATATCTTTTCCAGACACTGACATGTGAGGGTCTTAATGGTATACAACTACTCCATCAAAATATAAATTCATATTTTGCTTTAATAAAAACAAAGAAACTAATGAACATCTAAAGATATAAATAAACACCTGATAACAGTAAAATTATCTTTCATATATGTGTTTCATATCTCCTTCAGACCGTTCTGAAAACAAAATACAGTTTGCTTCCCAAACTCAACCCTTCTGGAGCCTCATCCTTGCTTGAGCGTTTTTAGTAGTATCTCCCCACCTGTTACATGCTGAAACTTGGGACACTACTTGTAAACAGACAACCAGGGGGAATTAAATTCAAATTATGAATAAAACCTGACATTAACCTCACCTAAATCAGTCTCATTTAGAATGAAAATTAAATCAAACCCACTAGAAACAAAAGCCTACACAAAACCATGAAATAATGAGGTATAAGATTTTAACAGAAAATAATAATTGGTTTTATAAAATGCAAAAAAAAATGAAAACCTGTAATAAACATAAAAGCAAGAATCATAAATTATTTTGTTTCCACAAAATAAAAAAACAATACAATTTCACAAAATGTAATTCCAAGTTGAAAATACTGTAGACCTGTTATCAAATATCATTTCATTAAATATTTTAAAACATTTCAAAACTGAAACATAGAAACCCATACAAAATTTAAATGATGATAGTACGTAAAGATTTCATGTCTTCAGACAAAATCAAACAAAACCCAACCAAATGTAATCCAAATAAATAAAATAAACATCACTGATCAAACGTAACCACGAAAAAACCCAATTAGACTGAAGTACAAAGACACTTAGCATTTCTAGCTGACGATTCACACCAAATAATATTTTCTGAAAGAAACAAAACAACAAAATTTAAAATAAAATGAATTCCGCTAGCTATTGATTGAGCCATTTTCAAACCTTAAGTAGCCATCAAAATCCAACTTATTAATTAATTATCATTATTTATTGGTCAGTTCTTCTGATATTGACTAGGACTAGATTGACTCATTTTGGTATTATTTTAAATGTTATCAACTGACTGACTGACTGAGTTTAGTTTTACGCCGCTTTTAGCAATATTCCAGCAATATCACGGCGGGGGACACCAGAAATGGGCTTTACAACAGTATTATTCCAGCTGTTTAACAGAGGCCTGTGAATAATTTGAGTTTCCAGTGATTGATAACATGAGCCACAAAGTCTGACCACTCAATCCATCAAGTCGACTCGGACGACCAGCGTAGGTTGCTGAGGATCCATTGTAACTCACATTTCCAGCATGGGTCTTACAAGCTTGGGACAATTGAACTTACACTAACCCATAACAGAGAACAAACACACCCACATTCAGCTTACAGACAATTTAGAATGTTAGATAATTTAATCACAAAAGTCACATAAGAATTTATAATCATTAGTTACTGCAGCTGTAACGTAAACACACATAACACCTGCAAAATATGCTCTGAACTTGAGTCTGCCAATCATTTTGTTAGAGTGAGTGAGTGAGTGAGTTTAGTTTTACGCCATGCTCAGCAATATTCCAGCTATATGGCGGCGGTCTGTAAATAATCGAGTCTGGACCAGACAATCCAGTGATCAACAGCATAAGCATCAATCAGCTCAATTGGGAACCGATGACATGTGTCAACCAAGTCAGCAAGCCTGACCACCCGATCCCGTTAGTCGCCTCTTACGACAAACATATAGTTGCCATTTGTGGCAAGCATGGGTTGCTGAAGACCTATTCTACCCCGGATCTTCCATTATGTTAGAAATATATTGCAAATGATTTCATGTTATTTGATTGTCTAAACGACCAATTCCTGTGTAACTCACATTTCCAGCCCTGGTGTTTCAACAAGCATGGGACAATCAAACTTACATTAGCCCACAACAGAGAACAAAACACCCACATTCAGCTTATAGAAACGTTAGATGTTAGGAAAATTTACTCACAACAGTTACATCAGAATATATAATCATTAGTTATGATTTCAACTGTAACGTACACACATATATTACACCTGAAGTTCTTATAAAGGCATTTAGAAGTGGGACAAACAGGAATACATGACATGTTTTATGGATAACTTTTTCTTTTTGTTCTTCATCGGCTAAAAAGGGAAAAGGAGGAAACTTTAAGAAAGCATCAAAATCCAAAGAAAGGAGGCAGCTATAAACCGAGACCGAGGCATCTACCTTTCCAGTGTGCAGTCCATTGTGCTATAATCATTGGCTTTAACTTACATTGTTATACCGTTAATCTTAAAGCCTTCATCCTTACATTGTTATAATGTTAATCTTATTGCCTTCCTCCTTACATTGTTAAACTGTTAATCTCATTGCCTTCATCCTTACATTGTTATAATGTTAATCTTATTGCCTTCATCCTTACATTGTTATAATGTTAATCTTATTGCCTTCATCCTTACAATGTTAAACTGTTAATCTTATTGCCTTCATCCTTACATTGTTATAATGTTAATCTTATTGCCTTCATCCTTACATTGTTATAATGATAATATTATTGGCTTCATCCTTACATTGTTATAATGATAATCTCATTGCCTTCCTCCTTACATTGTTATAATGTTAATCTCATTGCCTTCATCCTTATATTGTTATAATGTTAATCTCATTGCCTTCATCCTTATATTGTTATAATGTTAATCTTATTGCCTTCATCCTTACATTGTTATAATGTTAATCTCATTGCCTTCCTCCTTACATTGTTATAATGATAATATTATTGGCTTCCTCCTTACATTGTTATAATGTTAATCTTATTGCCTTCCCCCTTACATTGTTATAATGTTAATCTTATTGGCTTCCTCCTTACATTGTTATAATGTTAATCTTATTGGCTTCCTCCTTACATTGTTATAATGTTAATCTTATTGCCTTCCCCCTTACATTGTTATAATGTTAATCTCATTGCCTTCCTCCTTACATTGTTATAATGATAATATTATTGGCTTCCTCCTTACATTGTTATAATGTTAATCTTATTGCCTTCCCCCTTACATTGTTATAATGTTAATCTTATTGGCTTCCTCCTTACATTGTTATAATGTTAATCTTATTGGCCTTCATCCTTACATTGTTATAATGTTAATCTTAGTGCCTTCATCCTTACATTGTTAAACTGTTAATCTTATTGGCTTCCTCCTTACATTGTTATAATGTTAATCTTATTGGCTTCATCCTTACATTGTTATAATGTTAATCTTATTGGTTTCCTCCTTACATTGTTATAATGTTACTCTTATTGCCTTCCCCCTTACATTGTTATAATGTTAATCTCATTGCCTTCCTCCTTACATTGTTATAATGATAATATTATTGGCTTCCTCCTTACATTGTTATAATGTTAATCTTATTGCCTTCCCCCTTACATTGTTATAATGTTAATCTTATTGGCTTCCTCCTTACATTGTTATAATGTTAATCTTATTGGCTTCATCCTTACATTGTTATAATGTTAATCTTAGTGCCTTCATCCTTACATTGTTAAACTGTTAATCTTATTGGCTTCCTCCTTACATTGTTATAATGTTAATCTTATTGGCTTCATCCTTACATTGTTATAATGTTAATCTTATTGGCTTCCTCCTTACATTGTCATAATGTTAATCTTATTGGCTTCCTCCTTACATTGTTAGAATGTTAATCTTATTGCCTTCATCCTTACATTGTTATAATGTTAATCTTATTGGCTTCCTCCTTACATTGTTATAATGTTAATCTTATTGGCTTCCCCCTTACATTGTTATAATGTTAATGTTATTGCCTTCATCCATACATTGTTATAATTTTAATCTAATTGGCTTCATCCTTACATTGTTATAATGTTAATCTTATTGCCTTCCTCCTTACATTGTTATAATTTTAATTAGCTCTGAAACTTTGTGATAAAGAATAAAAAGAAGTTTATCCATAAACAGTGTCATGTATTCATATAACACCTGTCAAAAATATGCTTTTCGCATGAGTTTGCCATTCTTTGTAGTAAGGTATATTATGCCAGACACATATTGTAAATGTTAATTGATTGTCTAAATGTTC